ACGCTTCTATGAAATTACTATGATGATAGTAAGCCTACCCAGCCTACCTCACACGTTAACAAGAGAGCCCGTAGAACTTTATAATTTGTTCTTCGCCCCCCGCAAAGTACAAAACCCCTTGCATAATTCATTCCCCATAATTCATAAATACCATAACATATTCGCAAAAGTTGAAGTCAGGGGAGGGGATTGCACTAAGACACTTAGAGCACGCCCAGAAGCGCCGACTTCTTCTCGTCCCCAAGGCTGCCTCGAAAGAAAATGCCACACAGTTTGGGGCCAGTTTTGGGGGGGCCAAAAGTCGCTTTAGGGTGTGTAAGGCCTTGTGCCAGGCTCTTCAGCACTTGGCTTAAATCCGAGGGTTCGTGTTCGCAACCGCTTCAGCTCTTGTGGTGGGAAGCAGCATCTCATTCTACTATGCACGGTTGGCAGGAAACAGCAACCTGGTTGCTTGGAAACCGTGGTCTCCCTGCAACTCCAACCACCAAACCTAAGACCGACGAGCCTGGAGGGTGCGGCCTTCTTGCCTGGCCTGCAGTCAAGCCTGCACTTGGCATGTTGGGAGGGGCTGTTCTGAATACAGCAGCTCCCACTAAACCACACCACCCTCGCCTCCCCCGTCAGCAATGTGTTGGAAGGTTGGATTGGGCACGATGCCTAAATTCGACAGAACATGATGCAAACATGATTCCACATATACTTGCCAAGAGGATCCAGACCCTCACCCCCGAGAGCGCCTAATGTGGCTTGCACGGCCGCCACGATCCTGGAGCACAGGGCTTCGAGGCAAAGATCTGCAGGGTTTAGGAGTGCCGGGATTTGTCGGAATGTCTGTTGGTGAAGTTTGGTGAGCCCCGCCGGCCCGAAAGAAAACCCTCGAACATGCCGCTAGAAGATAACTTCCGTGCTCCTCCTCCAAGAACCACAAACGCCCCAAATAGCCGAGCTCTGATGTGATGAAAGTATACCCTTCTCGGGCCCCAGAGACGAACGTCCGGGGAAAGGGTTAGTATTCTCTCATTGGCTCTCTCTCTCCCTCTCCCTTCACCCTTAACCCCTCACCTCTCACCTGTCACTGTCACCTCTCACTCACCTCTCTCACCTCTCTCTCACTCTCTCTCACTCTCTCTCACTCTCTCTCACTCTCTCTCACTCTCTCTCACTCTCTCTCACTCACTCTCATGCTCTCTCGCTCTTGCACTACCTCTTTCTCTCTCTTTGTCTCTCACTCTCGCTCAAACTCCCTCTCTCACACTCTCACTCTCTCTCTCTCTCTCACTGACTCTCTCGCTCTCTCTCTGTCACTCGCTCTCGCTCTCGCTCTCGCTCGCGCTCTCGCTCTCGCTCTCGCTCTCTCTCTCTCTCTCTCTCTTCACTGAGGTTGCCGCGTGCACCTGCTTGTGCTCGAGGATAGTTGCGGAAGCCACTGCTTGTAACCACGTTATTTTGGGTTACTTACAAACCCCCACTTACAGCTAGCCCTCAACCTCCAAAGTCGATCCCGAACCCTCAAGGGCCCTTGGACCTCCCCCCGCCCTCAGAAGCCTTCACCCTACTCGGTGGCCTAGCTTTACCCTTGAATTCGGGACTGCGGCAGGGGATGGGTTTTGGGATAGACCCGACCAGCCTGCTGCTCTCTTGGTGGATGGCGCTGTCCTTCTGACTCCTGTGAGATTTCGGCAGCAGTTTATCCTAGGACTAAGACTAGGAGCCTTTGCCTCCGCACGCCTCATGGGCATTAACGACGTAAGACAAGTGGAGGTGATGCAACAGGCCTTGAACACCTGCAACTACTCCGCCCACTGAACTTAGCTACAAGTCTTTCCACACCGTCTCAACTTGAGGTTTCGCATACTTTGCAAACAACAAGCTCCAGCCTTGGGTGGATACATTCTCATTTTAGAACTTAGAACTATAGGAAACCTGGGTGCATGCCGAAAATCCGCACGACCTTGACCGCCGAAGGTCGTTCATGCTACTGGTTGAAAAGGTCATGGGTTCTTGGTATACTGGCAGTGCGCTAGGAGTGTTGGAGTGCACAAGCGACAACACCAGCTGAAGCTGCAAACTTGACTTTTCGCCATTGGGCAGGAAACCGGGAGGAGCCAACACCGAAAAGGGCAAAGCGTCTCAAGGCTCAGCCCTCCAATGGAGGAATGGAGGGAGGGCCATTGTCCGCAACCTTGGCATAACCCCTCGAGCCATCTCGAGCCTGAGAACTTCTAAGCGCCCACAAGCAGAATCTCCGAACAGACCCAAACGCCCAAGAAAGCTCCAAATCTGCTTCAAACATGGCACCCCCCAAACGAAAACTCCGAACCTCGCCTTCGTTTGATTTAGGGCTCCAGCTGAGCGCCGGGCAAACTCAAACTGCTCTGAAAGCTTCGTAGTGCGCCCAGTTGGTCGCCTTTGGCGCTCTGCACTGTGCCTGGACTCGTCCAAGTCATGGCTTAGGGTTCAATGTGGCCCTAGTCAGGGCCCAGAGGGAGAGAAAGAGAGAGACAAAGAGAGTGAGTGAGTGAGAGTGAGTGAGAGTGAGTGAGAGTGAGTGAGAGTGAGTGAGAGTGAGTGAGAGTGAGTGAGAGTGAGTGAGAGTGAGTGAGAGTGAGTGAGAGTGAGTGAGAGTGAGTGAGAGTGAGAGAGTGAGTGAGAGAGAGAGAGGAAGAAACAAATGAACAAATAAAACAAAAACACAAAACAGAAGGAAGGAGAGAAAGAGCGAGAGAGAGAGAGAGAGAGACAGAGAGAGAGAGAGAGCGCAAGCAAGAGACAGAGAGAGAGAGAGAGATGTTAATGATTCAAACCTTGACCATTGCAGCATGGTTCTTTCCAGTAGCACAGCTTTCTGAGCTTCCAAGTGCCCCCGATGGTACACAAAACCCTGACGCGCCGAGTCATGGCCGCATACTTTGGATGTGCACCACGCGCCACATGCTGAACCTTCAACCACAAACGCAAAGCTAATAAGAAGAACCGCTAAGCCCCAATGCATGTCACAAGACCCCACCCCCAGGATCCCCCGCGCACCGCGAAACCCAAGCAGAAGAAGCACAGCGCGTTCCTTTCTGGGGAGCCAGGCCAAGTCTGAAGTGAGCCATGGGGTCCTGCAACTCTCGTCCGTGGGCGCGGGTTTCGATATCATATGAGCGGGCTTGCCTCTCGCCCATCGGTTCTGCGTTGCGGCGCCGGTATGTTTAACGGTTTAGCGTGCCGTGCACCACGGCGCAAGACGGATGTCAGCTTTGCATATGATCTGGAATCTACAACTCACGTCAGTCCCTTCCCAGAAAATGAAAATGAAAAACAAATTTGCTGCGTAAACAACCAGACACATACTCGTCGTAGTGCAGTGCTCCCCGCTCCTTGTTTCGAAGCCTCACCGCTTCCTCGGCATACTTTTCGGCCTCCTGCAAAGGGGTGCGTGAAGCAGCTCCGGCTTGTGGGAACTTTTCGGTCTAGGGTGCCGGCACTTTTCATCTTAAATCCTTGCCTCTCTGGACAGGGCAGCCCATCAGGTTCATGCGCCAACATCCCATGAGCAGGCTTTCTCGCTTTGAGGGAGCTTCCCTGCAAAACCCTTAAAGCCCAGTCGTTCTAGGCTCCAGAGAGTCGGGCGGCACCCCAAACCCCAAGCCCGAAACCCTTAAACCCCAGACCGCGGCCTCGACATTCTCTTCTAGCAGCCATTCAGCCAGCTGCAGGTAGCCGTCGACCACAGACCTTTTCGCCCCCGAAAAAGATACCCCTACGTAGGACACTATTGAACCCCACTTTTCTAGGGTTTATAAACGGTTCAGGGTTTAGGGTAACTGCTTTCAGGCGGCTCCGCCGCGAGGCCGCGCTCAGCGCGCGCGGCAAGTCCCCGAAGTGCAGCGATGGCGCCCGGGCGGTCGCCTCAGGTAGCGAGGTCGTGGCTTTGGGTACTATAGCCCTATAAGCCGTAACACGTCATGCAAGGTGGGGTATGCTAGGCTTTTTGTTTCTTCGCACGGCATGGTGCTGATAAATATATATATATATATATAGATATATTTATTTATTTATTTATATTTATATATATATATATATGGAGCATATGTTTTTGTATATATGTATATATACATACATATAGAACATCTATCTGTGTATATATATATACTTATTTATTTGTTTTTTATTTGTTTTTGCTTATTTATATTTGTATTTGTATTGACAACCAATACTTATATTTATGTCTGTATATATGACTGCGAATGCTAGTTGAAGACATACTGCAGCCTGTCAAAATGTCACGATCCAGTACTCTGCCATGACGCTCTTTCAAGTTGGCTGTGGCATGAGCCTGCTCCTCCGCATGTGGCCAGCTGGCCACTTCTGTGGAAGTCCGACGTTAGCATAAATCGCGGGAGGTTTTCCAAGCTTTCCACACGCAGCAGTATTTTCTAGGCGTGTACCATTAATTTACAACTCGTACTGCTCCTACTCTTGCTCCATACTACTATACATTCTGCTTTCTGCTCACAAAATCTGACAGACCTCGCCGCTGACACCGTGTCCAAGTCACGGGAAGGAAGCATGGAAAAACATGGTGCCCGCAACCGCATTGCAGTCTTTCTGACGTTTGGAAGCTTTTGAACCCGAAAGAATACTTGGCTAACGAAGCAATCATTCATAGCAATTTTACACGGATAAGGCCTGTTCTGACTAGAGACTGAAGCACCAACGTCTGAGTTCGCAGGAACCACCATGTTCAACTGCTCCGAGAGCCTTTGGCTCCCGGAGTTATGCTTCCAGGGTCGTCCTGGCTACTTGTGGTTCCCCCAGCCCCCGAACACAAACCCTTGAAGCCAAGTTCAAAAACCAGGCATTCGAAGGATGGGGCTGAAGGTCCCTGGAACACTATGGCCGCAGAACAGGGCCCACCAGCTTCTTTTTTTCAAGTATGACATGCGAAGCCAAATACACACTATCATGAACTCCTGATCTCCGAGTAGTCCCCAAACACGAAACCTGCCCCACAGCTAAGAAAGCATCACCGTGGCGATGGCAAGCATGCCTCCAAAGAGACAGTGGCCCGATGTTGAGCTTTCCTGAGGCGATGAAGAAAGTACTGCTATGTACGACAAGCCACCATCGTTTGTTCACATGGTATGACATATCTTCCTATTCTGCCGGCTTGATTCAGAAAAGAAGCTGCTCTGAATTTCAATCATCCGGGGACCTAAGCGTCCTCTCAGCACGCAGGGCCTCCAGTCAAGCCCTTCGCCACTCATTCGGGAAAGAAACATTGCATCATTGCTTCCTTATCTTCGGTTTTTGGCATATTTAAACTTTAACCGCTTTGTCTCTCAAGCTTTCCTTCCTTCCTGCACGCAAAAGCCGCCGAGTGTTCATTTGTCTATGTGAAACGGAGTGTGTGTCTTTCTTTCTTTCTGAGGATCCCCACTTGCTTTGCAAAACACAAAGATGCACACACAAAGATGTGTCGCGCGGGCGCCCAAAACATGTTTCCGCGATTCCCCCCCAAGTGCCCAGAAACGCATGTCGCGGAGGACTTGCAAAAGCGTTTGCCAAGGGCCCAGAAATGCATTTCACATCTCTCTTCTTCTTCGTCTTTTTCTTCTTCTTCTTCTTCTTCTTCTTCTTCTTCTTCTTCTTCTTCTTCTTCTTCTTCTTCTTCTTCTTCTTCTTCTTCTTTCTTCTCCTTCTTCCCAGCGAAGGGGCCCCGCCTTACGGAGTGAACCCGGCCCAGCTCTCTTTCTCTCTCGGCAGAAAATGCGTTTTCAAAGGGCTCAAAAAAGTATGTCTCCAGACTGGTCACTTTTTCCAAGGCTCAGGCTGGATAGCGAGGCTTCACAGTCCCTAAGCGCTAGAGTCCGGTAGAGGTGCTAGCAGGCCCCTTTGGGCTAGAAGGCGCTAAGAAACATTTCTTGACCAATGCTGGCACTGTAGCAGTTCTACTACAACACAGTGTACATAAACGATGAAGAACAATGACATGATGAGACTGGACTGTATTGGAAGAGTCTTCGCTGTTTTCTTTGCAATTCAAGAATTTCAGTGCAGTTCGGGGTTCCTGTTCAATCCAAGTTTCGGTCAGGTAGATGAGCTTCGTGCCTTCTGAGGTGGTGTCCGGTGTCACGTTTGAAACGGTCGTGGCGCTGGCGGTGCTGGTGGTCGTTGTAGCGCTGGTCATGCTGCTGCTAATGCTGGAGCCAGTGCCTAGTGTTGCTGAGGGGGTCGTGACGGTCGTGCTGCCGCTGTCGGTGGCAGAGGTCATGGAAGTTGTGGTGGTGATGCTGGTGGCTGTGGTGGCTGAGGCAGCAGTGGTGGTGGTGCTTGTGGTTGTGGTTGTGGTTGTGGTTTCGGTTGTGGTTGTGGTTGCGGTTGTGGTGGTGGTGGTGGTGGTCGTGGTGGTCGTGGTGGTGGTGGTGGTGGTGGTGGTGGTGGTGGTGGTGGTGGTGGTGGTGGTGGTGGTGCTGGTGGTCGTCGGCGAAGAACCCTCAACATAATAGATGTCATTCGTGCTCAAAGCAGGAAGCTCCTGAATGCTGTTGCCCATGTTGGAACCTGCTGCGTCGAAGCAGGGACAAAACAAGTCATACGAGATGCTTCCCGTGGAAGTACTGACTGATGTGCCAGCCCCACCATCATCATCACAATCATTGTACAGCGACCGGCATACGGAAATGCTCACCAATCCTCCTGAGGCACTTGGCCCGTGACAACCCACCGTGTACGGTGGTTTGTCTTGGACATGGTAATGGTACACTGGTGTGGAAGACTCGGGGGTCGGACCAATATGTGCTCCGCAAGCATCCAGCAGGGGCAATCTGTTTAAGTTGAAATCTTCCCACTTGCCATACAGGCCATGAGAAGCGACATCGCCAACTTTGCTGGAATGACCGCCTGAAGCTGCGTACAAACAGCTGAGGCTCCGGTGGAAGTGGTAATCACCTGTGTGACCACCGCAAGGACCGACAACTCCATAGTACGTAGAACCAACCACACGAGGGAACTGTATGTTGCAAGCATAGGCGACTTTTGCTTCTGCAATGCCTATATCTGTTCCGCCATCGGGATCGTACACGAGTGATGCGTCTGTGCACCCCCACCCTTCGATGATGCCCTGCTGCTGCTGGGTAAAACCAGCTTCGAAGGGGCCAAAGATGTGTGCGCCGCTCGCGATGGAGTTTCCTGCCTGCAACATCTCATGGTTGAGAGTTTCCACACCTGCTGCAGTCGTGCAGCCTACATCACCCAGCAAAGGTGCTGCACATGGTGGGCTGGCACAAGATGGGTTCTGACATCCGCTACTGCCTCCGGGATTTGTGTCACCACCGGGGCCCTGCCCGCAACCGGACGGAGGTGGTCCGATTCCCGGGCCCCAAGTGACACCGTGGCCAGAGCAATCTTGACCATCGGCATTGGCGAGCAGCAGCACAGCGACGCAGACCCTGAACACCATGTGCGAAGCGGATCCACAACTAAATAGCTTCGATGCGGAGCCCAAGAGGGTGCTGCAAGGGGATGTGCTGTCAATCAAGGCACCTATACACACCAACTCTCCCCTACAACTTGACATGCACTAGAAGTGGCTATACGTCTTTCGTGCTTGCTTTAGTCAAACAAGTCAAACATGCTGGCTGGTGGGCCGTTGAGTTTGTGCTTCAGTGCAGTACGAATGCCCATCTTCACAGTCGCCCTGACAAAACACTCCTGGTTGAACCGCGGAAGTCTCGTTCCTGCTGGCTAAAGCACCACGATTCCGCAGGATCATGGCATGCATGATCGAGTACGACGCAACCCGCTCACCTGGCACCATCCAGGCAACAGGGCAAGAGTGCCAGTGGCTCTCAAGACGAGTCTACTGCAGGCTACAAAGGCTCTCCCCAAAGTAGCTGAGCAATTCATGCTGTCTCAGCTATTCACACAACGAATAGCATTGCTTGTTTGTTACTTCGGGACCCAGAACCCAAGAAGAGGTACCGGGTACCACTGGGCCGCCAAGTGCCCAGGTCAACCTCCTCGACTCGACCCAAAAGAAACTCCCCCATTTTCGACTCTCACACTGGCGAATGCGGGGAAACGACCCGTGACAGAGATCCTGGATTTAGGGTTTAGCGTTGGTGCATCCGAAACATCTGTAAAACCCCCAACCCCACAAACCCTGCTCATCCAACCAGGTATTCTGGCTGCCTTTGGCGCCAGTGGGCCCTCGTCTGCGTAGCTGCTTGCTGCTCCTCCACAGCTGCCCACCTCGAGACTTCCCTACTTCCTTGAAAATTTGGGTTTGGGGGGAGGGGGGAAGGGTTCGGAGTGCTTCAAAGTAAAGAAATCACACGGTCATAGTCTGAGTCATAGTTGAGACGACCATTCAAAACTCATAGGCTATATATGAGTACTCTGAGTAATATTGAGTCATCTTGAGTCATCTTGAGTCATATTGAATATTATTGAGTAATATTGAGTAATACGAGTATATGCCCATCTGTAGAGCGAGTCAAACACTTCAGCTTTCCGGGTTCGGGGCTGGAGGACTTAGGGCTTAACTTGCCGGGGTCTTGGCATCAGCTCGAGGAGCCGAAGGCCCACGATAAACCCGGACCCCCCCCAACCCTAATCCCGAAACCCTAAGCCCTAAACCCCAAACTCTTGCCGAGGGGACAGAGCTCATAGGCCAGACGCGCCAAAGAGCAGCGGAGAGGCCCCTGGAAGTCCGCTAAAGGCGGGGTTTGGCACCTTCGCGGGGAACTGGACTTGTTTCTAAGAGTCCTGCGTGCAGATCTGGCAGCCACATTCCCGAACCCTCAAAGGAACACAGCTTGTGGTCTATTATATATGTGTATTGTGTATACATATATGTGTCTACATATATGTGTATGTGTGTACATATACAGCACCGCTATACCAAACCGCCAAAATCTCCCCCCCCCCCCCCCCCCCCCCCCCGCAACCGATAAACCCCAGCCAGCCTGGGCACCCGCAGAGCCTTGCCAGACAGAGGGAAGCTGAAGGCTTCAGGCTTGATGGCTTCCGTACGTTCAAGGGAGCTCCGAGGTCCGAGGTTTGGGCGCGCTTGCCTTGTGAGGCGATGCTTTGGGATGTCTTGTGTGTGGGATGTGGGATTCGGGCTTGAGGCTTCCGGTGGCTGGCAGTTCTTTGTCCATCGAAACGCGATGAAAACATACGCCAATCGAGAGAGTGCACGCAACGCCGTCTTGCATCCACTGGAACTATGGAGCGCCGGAAGAAGTCTGAAGGGAGCAGCAGTCTCAACAAGTCTCGTGCTTGGAATTCGACACCATGCATCTCTGGGAACCAGCCCAAAGTATCCCAAGCCTTCCTAACGGTTGAACATGGCCCGAAACAGTTCAGGCGAAGCCCCCTCCTCGTCTGCTGCCGGCTCCAGCATCGAAAGCGTGGCGACACGAAGAGCCCCCTCAGCACTGTTTTTCATGGCTGCGCTGCACTGTAATGGCCCAAAACAACTTCTCAGAACCGGCGGACACTCACAAGCTTTTTCGAGTTCTCAAAGGCGGCCTACTGCACGAAAACCGACCAGGATCCCGCCAAGGATCCTGCTCGTCAAAACAGCACTCCTGGCGCCGACTTAAGGGACTACACGCCTCTCTGGAGAGAGGTATCGGTTTTGAGGCTTCAAGGTTTTAGGTTCTTATAGGGTTTGAGAGGTTCGTAGCTTCAGGAGGCACTGCTTCGAGTTGGCAAGGTTTGTGTCTTGGTCGTACCAGAATCAGCAAGCGCTAGCAACATTCCACAAGCGTGCTGCTGAGCACGAGAGACAGAATGGATCAAAGCTGGATGCAAACCTATTGTCGGTTGCCCACAAAGCCTTTGCCCGTGTTTCATCCTTGCGGGCCTTGCGCGCACGGAGTCCCCGCAAAACTTGTTCTGCCGTGATGTCAAGTCCACGGGCAGCTTAAAACTAGCTTAACTGACGCCATCTTACAAGAGTGATGAGAGATGTTAAACAGGACAAGTTCAAAAACTCCGCAGCCCGTTTGCCACACGGGGATGTTTGCGTTGCGGGCCAGCAGCTTCAACTAAACACGCGCTTGCAGGTGCCTTGCGCAAACCTTGCGCGGATTCCTGCGTAAGTTCTAGGTTTTCAATGGCTTTCACACGCTTGTGCGTCTTTTGGTTCAGAGCCTAATTAAAACGAAGGCGAAGACTCAGGCTTTCGGACACCGCCCTCATTTGGCTGCACAAGCCAACTTGCCACACTGATCGCGACATGGCCCGCCCTGCATTGTGTTTCAGCCCGAGAAGCGTCGCCGACATCCAGGATCTCGGAATTCCCCTCCAAGTACATGTTCCACCTGGCAGGGAGTAGCCTACCTCTCACCAGATGAAACCTTATACATTCCCTAATTGTGATGAACCCCGAACCCCAAAGCCTATATAGATCATCCCTAGTTGCACCCTACACTGCCCAACACCCCAGGCTTGGTCCTTGCGAATTTATCCCCCTCACCCTACTGAACCTTATAAACTTGCAAATCCAGCTCTAAGCCCTAAGCCCTCTGATGCAAGTCTCGACATCGCACCTGTCTCTAAAAGATGACAAACTACTTGCCGCGGACACGAAGCTGAAGCAACCCCTAACAGCAGCTTGATCCGTGCCTGAAGAGAACATCCTGGCTGCTGCTGCTTTCGCAAGAAGGGAGGCCAAGTGAGCTAAATAGACAGCCGGAGACCACAACACGTAACTAGGGCCGTGCTAAGTATGCTGTAGAGTCTACTGAAGCAGCACCCACAAAATCCTTGAACGCATCCAAGCACATGAACTGGCACTCCCCACTCCCAGCGAAGCTCCTCATTGTCCAAGTTGGTGAAATAGCTGGTGATCAGCTCTTCCCCGGGGGATATCTGCCGCAGGGCAGTAAGCCTTTCAGTGTCATGGAGTAGGTGGGGGGGTTCGGCCATACCGTTCTATGCGTGCCTTGGGCACAGGGCAGGGCTTGCTGGATGTCTAGCTGGCGCGACCTAGGTAAATTGTGCTTGAAATCTCTGCTCCGAATGTCGGCTTCCCACTCGCAAACATACCAAACCCTCTGCACCTCCCCCCCCCCCCCCCCCCCGCCTCAGAGTCGCCTCCTGGGCCTCAGGGCTCGACATGAGCAGTGAGGGGCTGAGGTTCAGCTCCTCAGGGGTGCCGGTGTTCACCTGGGCATTTCGAGGGCTTCGGGGTGGGGGTTCGGGACTTCCGGCTTGCCTTGTGGCCTTAGGGTCTAGAGTTTAAAGAGGCTTAGGCTCCAACTGCAGAAGTGTGTAGGGTGTGTAAACTTCAGGGAGCCTTCGAGGGTTCAGAGAAACGAGACACTTTGGGGTCCGAGGTGTTCAAGATAGTTGAGGGACTCTGATCGGAATGGGAAGGCGCTTCGTGCAGGTGTTGGGGTTGCCCGACACAAGCTGACCAGTGATGTCTAGCTGCCATATCTGCAGCCGGGGCCAGGAACTCCACGTCGGCAGGCTTGGCATTGAAGTGGCCTTGTCCATCTGATGGTCTTTGAATTCTCCCTCTCCGGATGATGCTGTTTCTACTTCTGCAAGGAGTGCTAAAGAGAACTGCACCAAAGACAGTCCTGCTACAACAGACAACAATCTACCACAAGGCCTCAGTATACAGCCAGGGCGCGGCTGCCGTGGAGGCGCAGCAAGCTCTCCACATCCTCAGGCAAGATGATCTTGCTCCTCTCTAAACTTATAAAGACATGAACCAGTACGTTTGTCCAGCGTTGTGGTGGCCCAAGCATGTGGCATGGGTTGAGGGCGTCTAGGTCTGCTGAAGCTACCGAAGACGGAGAACATAACCTTCTGATCCACGAACCCCCTCCCCCCCCAAAACCCTGAAAACTAAACCCAAAACAGCAAGGTCCAAGGGGCCCTCCAGTTCACATCTGAGTCCTCCAGCATGTCCTGCAGGACGTGGAAGCAACTCTCCTGGGCGCGCAAGAGGGGCCCGCAACCCTAAACCCGAAACCCTGGACCCTGAACTAAACCCTTTTTTCATTGGGTGTTGCCAGAAACTGCCCAGGCACAGGCTTCCAGTGCTATTGCAGTGCTACTGACTGGCCTCATCCCATACTCTAGCAAGCCAATCAACAGACACAGTCTCAACCCTAAAACAAACCCTAAACCCTCAACCCTGGAGTGCTCCTCTCAAAATGCAGGGCTTTTCCGGATGCTTCAGTGGCTGAGGAGAAAAAGCGCCGCCCCAAGCCCTTGCTTTCAAGGTCGGGGCGCATACTCCCGGTACTGATCCTTTTGTATCCGCCGCCAGAAGTGGATCACCTGGTAGCGGCTTAGGGTGTAGACGGTAGACGCGTGCAGAGCTGAGGCAAGAGCAAGAGCCCATCAAAAGAAATCGAGACACTGGCAGCGCTGCAAAGTGATCCAGGATAGCCTCGCCTGCAGGCTTGCAGGTCTAACCACAATCCAGGCAGAAGATCGTGGTTGTTGCATGTGCTGGCATTGCATCGCAGATGGCTGGGACAAAAGCCTGCAAAGAAGAGGTCGCTCTCTTCTAGTTCTGCGCGTGAAGGCAGAAGATCGAAGTACGCGAAGAAGTCCGAAGCCGGGCCTGCATCGCCCAGCATTCTTGGCGGCTGCAAGACCAAGAGCTCTTGGAGTATCTGAATGGGCATCAGGCCCCCGAAGATCACAACCAAACACAACTCTGCCCTTCTCCTAATCTTCAAGCTTTCCTGGGCGCGCCTTTCGCTCTTTCCACCGAGAGCAGCATCAGCGCCTGCCCGCAAAGCTAGATGTATTCTTCCGGCCTGGAGTCTGCTAGAATTATGAGGTTTTTGAGACACGACAAGGAAGCCTTTGAGGCGAATCTGAATGGGAATCTCCAGAGCAGAGCCCTGGATCACATGGTATCAGCGCAAGAGCATGCTGCCTATCCACCGACCTGGCACAGGGTGTTAGCCAATACCGGCGTGCGCCGCATGTCTGTGATGCTAGTGACACGGAAGAGGGATGAGAGAGGCCTTCGGGCTGGTGTGGGGAACTTGAGAGATACTGGGCCTCTGTGACTCTGTGCACTTTCTTCTTTAACTTGGCTCGGTCAGAGGGCTTTGAAAGGCTTCACTGCTTCACCCTCGTTGGCCTTGCCTGAACAGGCTATACTTGCCATCGGCCACCGGAAGCTCCTACACAAAGCCACCCGCGCAACCTTCTGAGACATCTTCATCCGAAACCTTGAACCACTTTGTTTTGGCGTTCAAGCGCCAGAACGCCTTCAGCTGACGCAAAGAGCGTCGGAGGCCGCACGTCAGGCTGCCTTGGCCGTGGACACGTCATGTCTGCCCGGCCGCCCCCCGAACGAGCAACAGAGAAGCAGCCGGCCGAGGGTCGCAACGAAGTATTTGCAAAGGCAAAAAACCCGAACACGCCATGAATCCAAATCCCACGCGGAAACATGTTGCGGACTCATTTTGGGGTCCGTGAAAGTTTGCATCTATGCGCTGTACCCGGTTCAGAAGAATATATATATATATATATATACATAGGTATGTGTACGAGCATCGTTGCGACCCACAAAGGTCCCATTTTTCGCATTTCGATTGCTAGCGATCTGCCCAGGAGCAGTTTGGCAAGGCTGCAGCCAGCGCCGAGTACTTCGCGGAGTGCCGCGGGGGGAGCTTTCTGGGATGATGAGGACGTTTTTGGTAGGATGATAAGGACGTTCTTTGGTACACTGCCGGATTTGCGACATAGTCTATGACATACGGTTAAAATGGTGTAAGATGCTGTTTGTTGGACTGCGGAAAGGATTTTTGGAGCTGTTCTCTTGCCTGCGGGCAGAATATCTCTGTGGCCACACCTACCTAATTTTGAAACACACGCCAGCAGGCATGCAGGCGTGCAATCCATGGTCCTCGGGAATCTTGGCGAGAAGATTCCTGTTGTCAAGAACTCCAAAGTCAAGAGCAAACCGACCATTTTTTACAGTCATGATGCTGGCTGGAGCGAAGCATGCGGAAGCTCAGGACGTATGCCTTTTCATGACGATTCCTGAATGCCGGGCTGGAAAAGCCATGCATGGTAATCAAAGAGCACTCTTCTTGATCAATACCAAGCGTCAGGTTCAGCAGCGTTTCGGGCGGTAGCTCCATCACCACGGTGTCTGGCAGGATGGAGCCACCTAAGCGCTAGTCAACCAACGGCCTCGTGCTAGGCAGCCATTACGAAGGAACAAAGGAGCTTGCGTCAAGCAAACGTACGTGTAGTCAAGCTGCAGCCCCTTTTGGAATCCCATGCACTGCTACAGACCATCAAATGATTCGATTTTCGGCATCATAAATCGATGAACACGGTTCGCGAGCTCATGTTGAAGTGTCTGCCCATGTGCAGATAGTCAACTTTGCCAGCCTGCAAAGACCTACCCCAGAATGAGGCCCGTGCTGGCGACAACTCCTGTCATCTGGATGCCACCATGGTCCACATCAGTCAGCTCAAGGTCGGGGTGAACATAGCCACCTGGCCGGTGGCAACCATGGCGTATGAAGGCTTCGGGCTTCGGTGCATGTGCACTGTATTTGCCTCTAACCGCTGAGTCTTTTCCAGGGCTCTTTTGGTTTAGGGTTTAGGGAGTTTCGCCACCCGCACTGCGCGCACACAAGCACCCGCTCCGCAGGGTTAAGTCGAGGTCTCCGGGAGTGGATACGCCTCTGTGAGCGCATCCCGAAAGGGTTGCGGACCCTGGAGGGGTCCCCTTCATGCGAAGGTCTGCGTCATTATCAGGTGGGGTTGCCAGCGCTAGGGCCGTAAGGCAGCCCCACAGTGAACGGTCGGAGCACGAGCATGCGTTTACCAAGAGCTAGCAACAAACCACCCAACATCGCTCCTAACACTGTAATCACCTCGGACCCTCACATGCTCCAACAGGCCCCAAACGACTGCTGGCTTCACACGGGAGTTTAGGGATTTGGGTTTAGGGATTGAATGCGTCTAGGGTTTAGGGAGGTCTCTGATGCCTCGGGCGTGAATCCACGCCACCAGCGCCTGCCACTTTGCCTGGCGCTCTCCCCCACTCCTCGGATCGGTCTGAACATACGCCCCAACAAGACTTGCGGAACCACTAGTTTTCCCCATACTTAGTAAATCACCTTCATTGTATCCGAGGTCGAGGTATCTAGAATCTAGAGGTACGTGTTTCAAGGTACGCTGGGATACAGTGGGATACAGTGGTGAGGCTACTGTTACCTGGACCCAGCCGTTCGGGAAAGTAAAGCATCTTCACAACTACCGGCCAGATCACCATTTGGTCTGCACAACCCAGCGACAGCGACTGTGGAGCGACTTCCGCGACCACAGCCGACAGCAAACGGTAACATGTGAGAGAGCCTCCCCACTGAGTACAGAAACCGATAGGCAGATGGTGCAAATGACTGTGGCTTGACTCGATCACGATTCAGCGGACAAATACCCTAACAGCCCTGGAAGTTGGCAATACAACATGTGGGAACGATGCGACGCCGCATCCAGACAGGTGCGTCTACCAGGAGCACTCGGTGAAGATGTTGCTAGGCAAGGATGCGTGTCTGGAAAACGACTTCGTGTCAGAAAATGGGGAAAGCTCGCCAAATTATATATGCGCAGGCCTCTCAACCACAGACCTTGTGACCTATGGTTGAAAGTCTCATCTTAAAGAACCCGCCTGCTTAAAAAAAACAGGTGGGCCGAGGGTGCTTCATTCAACTCCAGCATGGTTCCATTGCAAACGCCCAAGCTTGCAACTTTCAACATCTGCCTCACTGAATCCTCTTCTCTTGGTTTCAGACCTCAGTAGTTTCCGGAAGTCTTTCCAGTTCTGCTGAGCATCAAGGACTTCATATGACCAAGACAGGGCACAAAGGCTGAAACCTGTCAATGCTGCCACTTCTGGTGGCCCCAGGCGTAGGGCCAGCGAAGCCAACAACTCACCTGGATACACCCCGGCTTTGGCACAGGACCACACCACCGAAGGCACCTGGGAGTTCAGCCTCTTGGTACGCATCTTGGGGAGCAAAGTGTTCAATTGCGCAGCTGCGAAGCTCAAGAAACCATTCTGCAGGAGATCCAAAGCTTTCAAGGTGTCGGACAGCCTTTGGGGATGAAGCTTTGCCTCATCCATCCTGGGGAATTCTGCCACCAGGGTTGGCACCATCTCCAGCACTGCCGGCGCCACATCCTTGAGCTGCGAGGATGCCCAAATGCAGGCGCTCAACTGTTGGGGGGGCATCCCTTTTGCCTTCTCTCGAACTTTGCCGGCAATGGCTGGCACCGCCTCCAGCACTGCTGGTGCGACATCTTTCAGCTTCGCAGTCGCCAGCAAAGATGTGCTCAGCTGCTGAGGTGTCATGTCCCCAGCTTTAAGAATGATTTGGCTGGCGATGGCTGGCACCGCTTCCAGGACACAAGGTGCATCATCCTTGAGTTGAACACATGCCCGAAGATTGTCGCCCAAATGCTGCGCCTGCAAGCCCCTTGTCTTGTGAATGACCTTGATCTCATCAACAACGGCCTCAACTACCAATGGCACGTGAGCAGGCGCAACATCTTGCAACTGCGTGCATGCCCATAGGCAAATGTGCCATGCTCGTCAGGATAGAGCTTGCACTGGAGATGAAAACCCCCTGTTCCAGCATCCCATGTCGCAATATCTCCCCAACCTCGCTGTGCAACTTCTGGAGCACCGAGTTATCCCAATCGCTCTGGTGCAAAAGGTGCCTCCTGTTCAGCCTTGACAATGCATGGTATGCGCGAGATGCATAAAATGGTATAAACTGATTCGCTTGGAACACGGTGTCCAAAACATCAATCAACACCTTTGCCGATTCCGCTTGCCTCAATTGCAGTAGCACGACGTGTGCCTTTGGGGCTTTGGGCCCTTGTCTGGTCACTTGTTTACGCGCCTCTTCTTTGCAAGCCTTCTCTTGCCGTTTGCGGGCTCTCTTCTTCGCGTTCTTCTTGGCTCTCACCACGAGGTTGGTCCACTGGGCTCTGTGACCAGCCGACTTCAGGCCATCCACAAAGCTCAGCTGGCGGGGATCCTTCCGAACCGCCAGCTGTGGAAGGAACAACTGCCCGAGGCAAAACACCACCAGGCAACCACAAAGCAAAGGCCCAAGCCTGCTGCCCATAGTGGTCATGGCGAGTGCTGCTATTTACAGACTTGCCCGATATGTGACTGAGCTTCCAAGTGGTTGGCTGTGCTAGTGTCTCATGTGCACTTCTTAATTGCCTGGATTTGCTAGCAGGAGAAACCTCTGGTTGACACCACACTCAAACATCTGAACAGAAATCTGGGGCAAATTCTCCATGCAACCATGCTGTCGCCACTTGCCACCCCCTGTCTAAATTCCAGCCACCTTGTGCTGGGGTGCTTTGGGTGGTTCCAGGTGAAGCCTCTTCGGTGCGATCTCTGGAAATTCTATATACATGACCCCGAGGAACTGGAAGACCATGTTCCTGTTTCAACGTGCTGACTCGACTTGGAACTGGTCAAGAGCACACTTTGGGACCTATTTTTGCATATGGGGAAATTCCACCTGTCACCTGTCCATGATTCTTCTCAAACTTATATACATCGAATGATCACATCGACGGTTTCAGGGGCTCTATTCCATGCTTGCTACTGTGTGGGGTACTCTCAAAACGCACGAGTATTAGCAAAGCACCCGCCCTCGGGAGATTCACTAATCCTTAGTCAAACCTTTCTAGAACATGGGCATTTGCCAAAATAGGGGTTCCCTTTGACATCCCCCCAAAATAGTCCTAGAATCCTTTTACGGGCGCCCCATGGTGCTGCAGATATTGAGGCCCCGCACCCGCACACCCCATTCCACCCACCCCATCTCCAAGTTAAGTGTCGAACCGTCGCACAGTTGGGAGCTGGTTTCGGCAGCCTCTGGTTGCAACGCCACGCCTGCCGGAAGAAAGGCGAAACCGATAAGGTTTGTTTTGTTCCAAACGTTAATATACGCCGAATCCCTCCAAAAGAGGTGCCCTCTTACTTTGGGAACAGGGCTTTTAAGGGTCAGGGGATGCTGCACACGTCTCCGTCAGGAGCAGAGCAGGCTTGCGTGCTGCATGGAATAAATATAGCGCTCTGGAAACCCATATGACTGTATGACCTCTGCAAGCTGTCAACTACGCAAGTTCCCGGAGGCTTTCCTCCAGGGCTTCCACTTCTAAACTGCGCCTGTAGTGAGCAGAAGGAGAGAAGCCCGGCGCAAGCAGGGCCGCATGAGGCCATGGGCTGCTTCCAGTGCGCTGCAAACCCCAGGGGGGTCGCAGGATTTCTGGATTTTCATAGAGGGGTGTTCAGGGGGTGTTTAGAAGATCTTCCAGGGGACACGTGGCTCTGTCATGCCCTGATCCGGATTTGAACATTGAGCCGACGACTCAGAGTTAGGGATTGGGGGTTAGGGTGCGGAGGGTTTTTTTCGCTGGACTACCTTCGGGTGCCCAGGGTTACCTAACAGTCTCAGTCGGGGACTCGAACACGGGTTCAACTCCTGGATCCTTCACAAAACCTAAAAGTAGAGCCATTTGGAGGGAAGCTTCCACCGCATAGGTGCCACAGCAAGCCCCGCAGAACCAAACGCTTCGCGCCTACATGTCACTAATTCTGCGGGACTGGTGAGATCGAGAGGACTAGGTCTCGGTAACTGCCAAAAAAAAATGCAGACTTCTCCCTGCATTCCCCGCGCCTGAATACCCCAGGGCAGACATTGCCGCAGAGAGCTCCGACTGAGCAGTAGCGGCTTCATTGGGGAGAGCTTTCCACACCCTCGATGCCTCTTTCCCCTTGTCGGGTAGCTATCTTCAAGTCGCCGCATGTGAGTTCTCCGAACCCAGTGCCCTCCTCTTCGCTGCCGCACAATCCATGCACACTTATCTTGTGGTGGCTGCGAGACGCTGCCATCATGAAACCGTACAGCCCCGACAAACCCGGAGCCCTCTGGGCCCTCTGGTATATGCAAGAAGTTGTGCGCTTCTTTGGGGGAAATCAGGGCCCTGAGTCGAAACGGCAACTGCAGAAGTCTTCCGAAGCCCAGCCATCCGTAAGCGCCCAAACTCCGACAATTGTTCCAGACCATCTTCGCGTAAACCCGACACGACCTGCCTTTGGCATAGCCTGCGTCCTCGGCGGGCGACAAAGGGAATGGATTGATTCTAGGGCAGCGGCGTCGCGACACTGTACTTTGCGCTTAGCAATTCAGCTTCAAGAATCCCTTCGGGCGCTGCCCAGTCGGACAACATGTTCTAGGGCTTCTTTTTTGAGAGTTGCAAGTACTCACGACAGTGATGGCATAGGCTCGGTTCGACTATTGGAGCCAAGGCCAGCAGTGCCACGATGAGCTACCAGTAGATTCTGAGCCCAGGACGACTCTTCTTCGAACTCTTTGTAGACCTTGTAAATCCTTGGGATGCTTGAACAGCCAGGGACCGAGGTCAGAGATTGAAGCCAGATCTAGAGTGCTGTCCTGACACCTACTTTGCTGCCAGTGGCCGAAATGTAGCTACAAGTCAAACCGGTCGAGGCTTTCAAGACCCGAGTTCCAGCCCAGCCGCGTGTTCACTTCCTCCTCTCGGTGAATGCGCCTCAGGGCTATGGCTCGGCTGCTGGGCTTAGGGTTGATTCGGTGCTGGCTTTGGAACTTCAGGCGTGATTTGTTTTGTCCAGCCTTGTGCAACTGAGAGCCTGAAATAAATCCTTGTTCGCATCTTAAACCTTAACCCTTAGCCGAAGGTTCCTATAGTAGCTATAGTATTTATGAAGCCGGGTGTCCTCAATCAGCCCCACATCCCTACCACGGGGTCGGAGGGTCTTATAAATTTCTCTAACTAAGAGAACTTGAGAACCTATGAGCCCTGTTGTGGGCCCTAAACCCCAAATATCCCCCATATTGAAAACAACACAAGAGCTGGGCCAAAGGGCTTTAGGAGAGAACCGATCAACCCTACAAAACCTCGACATAAACCCTATACCCATAAACCCCCATGAAACCCTTAAAACCCGCTAACAAACAACCTAAACCCTCTGAACCCGATAAACCCTTTAAGCCCAAGAACCCCAAGACCCTCCTGGAGAAAACTCGGTGGGCGGTTCGGGGCCCCTGGCATCAGTCGGAGGAACTCCTGGAACTCCAGGGCCCCGGATCCATTGAAGTCCACCTGCCGGCAAAAGAAACTGAAAATGAGCTACCATACTAATGATGGTAATGATGAAACATGAATGACAATTGAGAATGATGATCAGCATGATGATGATACAGCATAGCAACACTGATAATGCTGATCATAATGATACTCATGATAACAATGATAACAGTAATAATCGTGATAGACATTAATGATGACAATTATAGGAACTGCTATAATGTAGTGATAGGTTACAAGAACCTTAACGAGAACCCAGAAGAGGGAAAGCAAAGAAAGCGGCAGGGTGGAGAGTGTAGGGTCAGAGTTTCACTGGGGTAGGGTTGAAAGGATGATAGGGCTGCAGGGGAATGTGTTTGGTTTGCGGCTCCTCTGCAGTCAGGGTTCTTGAAGTTGCTTGTTTGTGGTGTCTGATTCTATACCACCTCGGCAGAACCGTGGCCTAACGTGCCCATCTTCGTGACTCAGGCCAACCAGCTACAGAGGGGGTCCGGGCAGACAGAGCAACATGCAAATCGCAGGCCTGGCCGGTGGGATGCAACATGTCTGCGCGCTGTGTTGCGATGCCCCGAGTTCTCAATCAAAGAGCACGGTCGCAATAGGCTCACAGCCGCCACAGGTCAGCTTGCAAAGAATCTGCTCCAAGGCCGCTTTTACATTGGGCTCGTTGGCCGGGCCAACAACTCGAATGCGAGCCCCTTGACATTTGTTCAGGCCCTGTGAGGACACTCCAAAAACCCCGTTGTGCTTGAGGAAATGAAGGCCGAAGGGGCTGAACACTGCCAGCCACAACTCATCGAACATCTGTGCTGTGCCTGTTCTGTCAGAAGCAAACTTAATGTTCGAGAATGTGCAGAACCAACATCCAATATCTTCGCGGAATTGAAGCCTGCTGTGTTTCACTTCCAGGCGGATGTCGTCCCTGAGCCAGTCTGCGCTGGACGCATGCAACCCCTTGAGGCAGCTGGCGGCTGCCTTCTCTCCGACACTTCGGCGAAATCGCGCCTGGGGATGTCTCAGCCTGTCGATTTCAAAAGCCAAGGCTTCGACTCGCAAGCCTCGAACAGCCGGGCTGGCATACTGAAGAGGTGTTCCATCAAACGCACTTTCGCTATGTTGCTTGCCAAAAGATTCCGGCGCTCCGGGAGCTCCCGACAAAGCTTCTTTAACTTCGGGTCCGTTCACATCAAGAACTGCAAGCTGTTCACACCTGCTGGGTGGACTGAAGAGCGCGTGCACTATGTGACAAGCAGCTTCTTTCCAGCATCTCATATGCTTCGAACCAGTGACAACTACAGAGCAGCCATGCGAGGAAGTTAGCACTCCCTGCCGGTGCACGCGCGTGCGCAGGTCATGCTTCAAGATGAGAAGACTGCTCGGAGTGTACAGAGTAAGGTACAAATCATCAAAGATGTCTTGGTTCAGCTTGATTGCACGAAAATGCGCCTGCCATCTGAAGTCGCTGCGGCTCCAGTACAGCTGTGCACTCTTGCACTCAATCCTCTTGCCGCTCATTGTGAAATCATAGGCCGCTTGCAGTGCTGAACGTCGTCTTTCGCAGGCATCCGGCCCAGGCGCTGGAGCTTCCACTTTCGCTCCAGTGCTGCTTTGCAGAACTGACTGTGCTACTGCTTGCAACGCTAGGCCACGCCGGGACGGAGTAAGTTGGGCAAGTGGATGTTGACCGTATGCAGCACATGTCTCTCCGACATCCTCCAGGATATCCTGGAATTGCGAAGCAGGAAGTACCAATCCATGAAGCTGCCGCGTTCTTGGAGCAAACTTCGCGAAACGCCACGTCTGACATGCCAAACTCCAATCTCTCAAGCGATGGCATGTCCCGATCGGGCAATGCATGAGTGGGTCTCTCAACGAGTCTTGACACACAGGGCTCGCAACAGGACAGCCACCGACCAGTCTGCCTACGGATGGATGTATGTCGGCTACTTGCTTCTCTTATCAAGCCGTCGGTTGGCGAGAACCAGACTTCATTAAGCTGCCTGTGGACGACAGACACAGGCGGCACCTGGCTGATCAGCACTTGGAGCTCATCCAGCTTCACAGTGTGGCCCAAGTGCCTCCCAGGTCACAGGACAGGACCCGAGGTTTTCGGCTTCACCTTGTAGACAATGCTAAGTTATTGCTGCTTGAGCCCCTGCATTAGGGCTCCCCAAAAGCATTCTGAGTTTGTGCCTTCGTGAAGTTCAGGCACGTAGGCTTAAGATGGACCTGTGCTGCCACTGGCTTCAATAGCCAGCGTCTTTCTGTTGGGAACGCTCAAAGCCCTAAACGACACTGCCCACCTAAGTCACCTCAACTGGCCCTCGGAGAAGCCCTTGTAACAGTGCTCTTTAATGCTATACTTCTGAAATGGGCGAAATCGAGTCCCCTAAGCCATGGAGGCCTAGACAGTGCAGGTCGGCCTGAGCATGTCTGCCAGCTCCAGGACTTCAACCTGGAGGCCGATACCAACACATCATACAGCTGAAGTTTAAGAGTGAAGGTGTGGTATAGGGATATACTGTACAGGGTTTTAGGGTTTCAGATTTGGGTCAGGGCGCTCTATGATTTTGTGATTCAGGGATGGTCTGAGTCTACCCCCAAGCCTTGTTGGGGTTTTGAGAGGCAGCTTCCTCTGCTTGCAAATCGGAAACTTGGCCTGACGCACACAGAGAAACTTTCCATCGGATTCTGCCAGCCGATTGCTGGACCAGAGGTTCTTGAACTTTCATCTGATCGCCAGCGTACAGTGACCGTGGCAATCTGCCTCCGCATTGCCGTTGTCATCGAACTTGTCGAAGACCTCCTTGAACTCCTTCACCTGTGCCTGGGCTCGCCGCAGAGGATGTGTTGCAGGGGGGAGGGCAAGTTAACAGTGTATGCGAGGGACACGGTTGACGCTCGCTTTGGGTGCCTGGGAAAGCATTTAAAAGCACCTGAGGCAGCGGCATAGCTGAAACCTTCCCTCGAGCGCAGCTTGAGCATGAAGTTGACCTTGCATGCAACTCCGATGCCAGCTTCCCCCAAAGTCCCTTTTCCAACGCTCACAACCTACTAATTGCTTAAGAACCCCAAAAAATGAAAAACAACCCTCCTTATAAGGAGGATTCTCATTCTCTTTTTTGGGGGATTCTTAAGCAAATAGTAGCACCACAGTTGTAAGTTCCCACTGTATCATCCATATCTGCAATCATGAAGGACGGGTGATTCAGGTCCGAGGCGTGACACGTTACGATCCCACAGCCCTTTTTCCGCGTGGCAGTTCGAGCTTCCGTAAGGCCGGCAGGATGATGAGGGCCGTGGTTGACATCATCACTCCAGACGAGAGATCCCTTGTAGAACCAGAGAGCTGACAAACCCGTGAACACCAAAGAACACTAGCCTATACCACCCTGTTCCATGGGGGGCTCAGGCAACAACAAAACTTTTCACACGGCTTTCTCGGGGCTGCCACCTCAGGTGCCCCCTATTCCTCCGGTGAAACTGCAGGGAGGGCTCCCATAGTTCGCACTGCCGCCAGAAGCGGGGGGGGCTGATCCGTGAAGCATCCAACTTGGGCTTAGAACTTAGGGCCCGTAAAGGGCTTCAGGAACAAGAGCTTCGGGGTTGGGGGTTCTTATATCAGGGTCAGCTACGGCAGATGGACGCCACATGGAGCCTCACCTCCGGCAAGGAATCCTGTAACTACACCTGCGGACTGGGCCGCCTCTGACAAAAGGGCATCGGCCAAAGGGCTCTTGGGCATGGCGGGAAAGGGGTTTCATGCGGCTTAATCCATTATGGGCCCTTGTTGGCAACCTCACCTAGATACTCATCGACGCCAAAACAATGCCCCAAATTCAGGTTAGTCGTAGAGGGGACATGGGAACCTGTGGAAAAGAGCTCGGCCAATTTGCATCGAAACCTACGCCTGCTGGTTCTTGGGTGGCCTGAAGCCTTATGAGCTTAGCTCCTAGTAGGCCTGGGGCTCTTATAAAGCTTAGTGGTTGACTTGATCTTGCCGATGCCCAGCAGAGAGACCCCTATCTACCATTGTGCCCACTGAAGGAGGCGACAGAGGCGCCTGTGGTTCAGCGCTCTTCTCCTCGGGCTGGAGGCCTGGTGCATGGCGTGTGGTGGAGCTTGGGCTTCGTCCTCTGCCCCGGAAAGAGGCTCTGGCTGAACTCATGGTACCATGCTGGCTTTGCAGACCTTGCCACCAGTCTCCCCGTCCCCTCCCCTGCTGAGGCCCCATCAGTGGCAGATTGCGAGACGCATAGTGGAACAGCTAGGACGCCTCCCAACGGCTTCGGGTGACCCTAAGCGAAATGTCGCTTTGCTGGTAAGCTCGCTATGTGCTAAGCATGTCGAAAGGGCTACGCAGCGTGAATTCCGCAACAAACCCTAAAACTGAAAAACCATGCTTCGGCCCTGTCCTCCACGTAAGAGACAACAGCACGAACGACAGCAACCCAAACAAAAACTCACGAGCTAAGCCCGCCTCCCCGTCATCCAAGGCGCGGCGTTGGTTGAGCTTGGCCATGGTCCTGGGTGCGTTTAGTTTATAGGATTTAGGGGTTGGGTTAGGGTTTAGGGCTTCAATCGCTCACTTTCGGACAAGGCAGGCGAGGCACCTGGTATTTAGGGTTTGGTGTTGAAGGTTTCAGGCTGCGTTCTTGCATGCCTTTCGGGTTTCGAGGCCTTTTCGTATGACCGAAAGGCATGGTGGTTGGGGGTTCTTCATGAGATTTGCGTTTCTGGGGCGCTTCTGGTGGACTGAGGAAAACCCACCAAACCTCCCGAGCTTTGCTATTGCAAGCACACCATGGCCCGCATGGAAACTTCAGCGCCCGGCACCGAGTTTTGTCACCATGAAGGGTTCCTCATACTTTGGAGGCAGTTGTTGGAATTTTTGCACCGAGCGTCTTCGCAAAGACATCCTTCTGGCTTGTCAAGGAGCTGTACCTCTGCAGCCCGAGCGTCAGGCACCAAGTCTCAAGTTTCATCGGAGTTGAAAACTTCAACTGCGCTGCGGCCAGGCTGCTCCAGGGAATCCCACACATCCCGATCCTCCACCTTTTGCAGATGAACGTTGGCTTGCGAAGCTCAGGATGCAAAAAAGCTACCCCGATTAAAGGTCCCGTAAGCCAAACCCCTGTGACCCTGATGCCCTGCTACTGCGGGCCTTCTGGCTGGAAGCAAAGATTCTGTAGACATCCTGGACAGAAGTGGTGGCTGCGCAAGAACCAAAACACGCGCGCTCGTGGCAGCTCACCTACATGCTGCAAAACGGGCTGGCTCCCACACAGGGGTACCCATACCTAAGCTTCTTTCACCCCGACACGTCTGCCAACCCGCGCCTTGTCCATAATGCCGAGACCTCACGAAGCTTTTTCGCAGGTTATAAGAATATGTATAAATATGTTTATATATATATATATACATATTGTTATTTGCTTATACTTATTTCTTTTTTCATTTGCATTTATATTGTTTCGTTATTCTAGTATATATGGAGGACCCTAAAGCACCCTCACGCTTGGGATCCAGCCACCATATTCGTCGACATACTCTGGAAGTGTGCACACCTGCTGTGGGGAGATCGCGGACTGTGGCTGAAGATCGTGGGTGTCGCCCTCTGTTACACACGTATGTCGCGCCCCTTGTTTCATACGTCTATGTCGCGGGCCTCCTTAAGGGGCTTGTTGCAGAGGGGCTTGTTGTAAAGAGAATGGCTATGTTCCAAAATCTTGCAGAAAGGCGCCCGGGGGCCTGTTACATACACTGGACTCTTGAGGTCTGTTGGCCCGCTGCCTTGTGGCTCTGCAGGACGAGAGATCAAGACACCCTGGATCCAAATCCCCCTGTCAATTCAATCCCCTGCACACGAGACAGAATGAGCCCGCTTGCGCTGTGTCTCGCCTTTGCTTTTGCTTCGTGCTGGGAGCGGGCAGAGTCGCGATCGTGGAAAACTGCGACCGACTCAACAGAACCATCCTGCACATAGGGCTGCTTCTTCGGGCTGTGCCACCATGCCTTCAAACATGAAGAGGAGTGATCCCGGCTGGCCCTAAGCTGCACATCAAAATGTCCTTCTCATAGCGTGCTACGAGGTACTCGTCTGGAGACCGGTGCTCAACCTGCGGAAAGCATGGCAGGTGTTGGGCTATTAGATGGCTATCGGCCTCTTACCAAAAAACTCGATGATCGGGGAACATCGTTGAAATGGAAAGGGCACGTGCGCTGGGTCACGTCTTGTTGGTATTGTTCTGGGCGGATGTCTGTATGCCGGTTGTCTGCATGATGCGATCCTACATGTTTCACAACATGCCGTCTGTTCTTCGCTTCAGCAAAACAGACCTGAACTGACATGCAGGTGTCCTACCGCCAACGTTGCAGCCCTGTCTCTTAATGCTCAGCACGCTGTCAACTCCCTCATCCGGAAAGTCGCCTTCCTCGATGACGTTTAGGCCGAACTCTAAGCCGTGAAGCCAGAAGAAATTCTCGCCTTATCCTCCCATATAGATATCTGCTGCAAGCCACCCAAGATACCCACCCCAAGTACACATGGAACCCTTCTGCGGGACCAAGCTGAAGCCCTCAAAGGGGGGGGGGGGGTGCCACCTCGGGAGCCTTCTCGAAGTCCGGCTGCAGGATGAGCCCCGCGCCCGTCCGCCCGCCCCTTTGCCGCACCAGAGTGTTCCTCGGAAGCAAAGTGGAGACTTGTAGGTGCTAAGGATGTGACAGGGCTGCAGGGGTACATAAGCTATATGTCTGACACAGGAATCTACAACTCAAAGCTCATGATGCTCTACAGCTCAGGCTGCCAGGTCCATGGTGCAAGTTGAGAAAGCCAAGCTTCTTTTTAAAATGGTCTTTGTACCCCCTCGCCCTCCATCCAAACCCGCAATGCTTTTGCTGTCGGCCCTCTTCTTTCGAAGCTAGTTTGGATCCAGCTTCTGCGCCATGTCACCCTAATCAACCCTAAATGCTAAACCCGAAGCTCTGAACCCAAAGCCGGGTCGGGAGGTGCAGCCGAGACGCAAGTCTCTTCGCATCTCTACGCACGCCTTCCCCGCTTTCCGCGCGGGGTCATTCCTGGCCCGTGTCTGCAATGATCCAAACTTACGGGCTCTTTTGAAATAAGGTACCTGACACCTTATGCACCCTCCAGGAAATTCAAGAGAGTGGCCCGGTAACCCTGCACGTCGGTAATCCGCAAAAATAAATGAGTCTACACCGCCCGTGGTACAGCCGTGATAAGCAATCACGTGACTATCGCGTGATCGCTCATCGCGGCTGTGTCGCGGGCTAGATCACGGATTATTTGAAGTGAGGTTGCCGAACAGGGGCAACCTCAAAACTCTCATGAAAATGCGTTCTTCTTCAGAACAGGCACCCAATAATTAATGAGCGCCCACAATTTGGATCGACACGACTGGTAGATTTGAGGGATCAAACCTGCCCTCGGGGTCCACCCAGGAGGAACCTCACAGCCTACGCCCCTCCTGCTTTAAAATCCAACCCCCAAACCCTAAGCTCCCAACTTTGAACCCTATAAACCCCAAACCATAAACCCTAAACCCCCAACCTTGAACCCTTTTGCCGGAGGGCTCTCTTACGTGCCTCAAGCTGCCATGGACTCGTGAACCCCAAACCCCAAAACCCCAAAACCCCAAAACCCCAAAACCCCAAAACCCCAAAACCCCAAAACCCCAAAACCCCAAAACCCCAAAACCCCAAAACCCCAAACCCCACACCCTAAACCCTATAAACCCTAAACCCTAAGCCCTACACCACATAAGTATGCCCAAGAGGCAAGTTCACCAAGGGCAAGGCGACATCGCCCTTCAGACTCCTCGGAGATGGAAGCCATTTGGCCGTAGGATTCCGCCAGAGTTTGCGGCTTAGGGTTTATGGGGTTTGGGGGTTTTGGCACCCGCGTAGCTGGACGAACGACTCAGCAGGAATCCGACATGTCTGGGCTTAGGGTTTAGGGTTTGGGGTTTGGGGTTTGGGGTGCAAAGAGTCTCGTTGCAGGTGGAGCTGCAGACTGACTGACTGCATGAGGAGAGAAGCCCAAACGCGCTATATCACCGACCAATGCGCATGCTAAGTACAGACCCTCACCTTCAATCTGAACTTATGACATGTCCCAGTTGGGACCCTACACCCTAAACAGCCCCCTTCCAAACGCCTAACCCTGAACCCCTAAGACTTAACCCTTAACCCCTTAATTGACGCGGAGCTTCCGGGATTCGCTAGTTGGGGGGCCGCTCTTCGACCAAACCGACTCGCTCTCCGGAACCAGCCACTCCTGCCAGTTTTTCGAGTTTAGGGTTAGGATTTTGGGTGGTTCCGGGGTTAGGTTTAAGGGTTAATGGCCAGGGTTGTTTTGCTGCTGCTATGGAAGGAGAGTCTCGGATTTGGGGCCTGGAGTTGCGGCTCAGCCTTCGCCCACGGGCTTTGCATGAAGGGTCAACAGAGAAAGTGGAGCATGCGGCGTGCCAGCAAAAAGCGTGAAGATGGCCTCGCTAGCCCAACTGCGCCGGAGTGACTATATTGCTATAGCCCGGCGTGCCACTGGTGGCCGCGCTCGTGGAACAGCCGGAGCCGCAAAAGCTTTAGCGACTGATTCATCATTTTGGACCATTCCATAGCTTGACGCAACACGAACATGGGTTGAGAACAATCACAATTGTGGCTGCTTCCAAATTGGGTGGGTCGGAGGTGCGTTCGGATTGTGAGAAAAGGCGGTTTTGCGGCATGGCCGTGACCTTTATAGCAGTGAAGTAGACCTAAATAGCTGGGTCCGTGTGTGCAGGGGCTTCGGGTATAGGCGTTAGGGCATCCCCAAATTCCCCAAGACCTGAGTCGATGGCACTCTGCAGTCACTCAAGTCCTGCTTCTTGGTGTGTCGCGCCGTTAGTGGTCCCGCAGGGTAAAAGAGCTTTTTCCGCTTGTCAGCCATGGGTCCTGGCACAAGTCTTGAATGAGTCTGATGTGAGGTCCATACGATTCGAACATATGAGACGAACATGTTCGGAGTGTAGCCTTTGGGGTATCGCATCGTTGTATCCGTAAGCTCGTGCGGTGAGCCCCTGATGCCTCCTATTTCCGGCTCCGAATCTAGGCTCCCTACCTTTTCCGTGCTCGTGGCAGCCTCTTCTACCACGCGGTTTTGCAGAAACCGCAGTCACAGTCCGGCTGCTCTGCGCCGGGCAACGCGAAACGGGACTTCCTCGCGCCTCGTTCGAGGCACACGGCTTGGATAACCCCCTTGCAGGCTTGAGATGAAAATGGCCACGCGCCGATGCAAAAGCCACGGGATATCATTCCCGCATGCGAACTTGCCTGGCACAATTGTTCGAGGAGATGTGCACTAGCCATTTCTTGTTTGCTCGGCTGCTTTTCTTCTGCTCATTGGAAATTGGTTCGGGGGATTGTTCAACCGAGCCCCTCGTTGAGTCAATCCGGGTGACGCATCCTGGTCTAGAGGCAAAGATTTGGGTTGACCATTGTGTGGTTATCCTATGCAGTACGCATTCTGCCAGCATCGCGAACGTCTTGAGGTCTGCATAGGGCTTCAGGGTGCATCAGGTGTAAGACCTTTGCTGGAGGGAAGACCTCTGGGAATGAAATTGAGCTGCGGGACCTCGTTGAAAGTCCACGTTGTTCAAAACTTGCAACTTCTTGGCCCAAGCGATTGGAATTTGAACAGCTGACCTCCTGGTGCAGTGTAGTTTCAAAAGCCACACGACAACCAGACAGTTATACGTCACTTCCTAGACTCTAGGAATTGACGCCCGCTTGGCTTGGCCCCAAGCAAACTCGTCAAAGTCCAGCTTGCCGTCCTGATTGTCGAGCAGGGGGGGGAGGGGGGGGAAGGGGGGAGGGGGGGGGGGAGGGGGGGGGGGGAGGGCGGGGGGGATGGCGTGGTGTGGGGGGGGGAGGTGAGGGGGGAGGGGAGGGGAGGGGGGGAGGAGGGGGGAGAGGGTCGGAGGGGGTCTCCATGGGCCGCTTTAATGTGAGCATCGTTGGTCTGCCAGGCTCAGGACATCAGCCAAAGTCTTACAAAGCTGCTTTGCCCCGGTCCTTGCGCCCAATGCCGAAGAGGTTGTCCTCACTTTCGTGCAGGAGCTCCTGCACTGCTGCCTTGGCAAGATGTTCTGGCCCACATGTCACTTCTTGTGCCTGGAAGGAATAGATCATCGATCACGACCCGCTGAAAGGAAGTCCAAAACCATAAATTAAATTTGTAAACCCTAGATTCAGGGGTAGCTCTACGTTCCGTATGTAGGTATCTCAGATGAGGCTACAAGCCACTATAGCCATCATAACTGCACTACCCATGAACCTTCAAGTGCTCAACCCCGCAGCCACAACCGAGAGCCATTGGCAACCGGCCTGGTTGACTGTGAATCCAAGCGCTCCTGGATTGAAGACAAAGCCATGCACGCCATATGGGGGCTTCGTGTAGTAATTGTGTCGATATCCGTTTGTTCTGTGGTGGCCACTGTATAGCAAAACGAAATTCTGGCCCCTTGCACTGGCGCAAGTCGTGCGGCAAAGCATCCGACAAGCTTGGTGAGCTCGCCAAACTCAATACCTGGGCAGCGAGAGCTTAGAGGAATCTTCGGTAGCAGTGCCCTTCCACTCTATCTTCTGAATGCAGTCTTCGTGTAAACCTTTCATGGCCCTGCAAAGACAGTATGCCTGGACTGTGGGGACATCCTGGCGGCACAAAGGCAGTGGCGGCCATTTCTGTTCGTGTCGAACTTCTCGAACTGGTGTTGGAACAACTGGCATCGACGCTGCACACCAAAGACAACGACTCTGGTGTGAGTTGCCGGTTGCAGCAACCCAAACACGGAAAGACTTGCACACCTTATTATCGTCAGCTTCGGTTGCCGCATCACTGCCCATACCTAACAACACATGAGCCTAAGTAAGAGACAAAGAGAGTGAGAGAGAGAGAGAGAGAAGGAAGAAAGAAAGAAAGAAGGAAAGAAAGGAAAGAAAGGAAGAAAGGAAAGAAAGGAAAGAAAGGAAAGAAAGGAAAGAAAGGAAAGAAAGGAAAGAAAGGAAAGAAAGGAAAGAAAGGAAAGAAAGGAAAGAAAGGAAAGAAAGGAAAGAAAGGAAAGAAAGGAAAGAAAGGAAAGAAAGGCAAGAAAGGAAAGAAAGGAAAGAAAGGAAAGAAAGGAAAGAAAGGAAAGAAAGGACAGAAAGGACAGAAAGGAAAGAAAGGGAAGAAAGGAAAGAAAGGAAAGAAAGGAAAGAAAGGAAAGAAAGGAAAGAAAGGAAAGAAAGGAAAGAAAGGAAAGAAAGGAAAGAAAGGAAAGAAAGGAAAGAAAGGAAAGAAAGGAAAGAAAGGAAAGACAGGAAAGAAAGGAAAGAAAGGAAAGAAAGGAAAGAAAGGAAAGAAAGGAAAGAAAGGAAACGAAAGGAAAGAAAGGAAACGAAAGGAAAGAAAGGAAAGAAAGGAAAGAAAGGAAAGAAAGGAAAGAAAGGAAAGAAAGGAAAGAAAGGAAAGAAAGGAAAGAAAGGAAAGAAAGGAAAGAAAGGAAGGAAAGGAAGGAAAGGAAGGAAAGGAAGGAAAGGAAGGAAAGGAAGGAAAGGAAGGAAAGGAAGGAAAGGAAAGGAAGGAAAGGAAGGAAAGGAAGGAAAGGAAGGAAAGGAAGGAAAGGAAGGAAAGGAAGGAAAGGAAGGAAAGGAAGGAAAGGAAGGAAAGGAAGGAAAGGAAGGAAAGGAAGGAAAGGAAGGAAAGGAAGGAAAGGAAGGAAAGGAAAGGAAGGAAAGGAAGGAAAGGAAGGAAAGGAAGGAAAGGAAGGGAAAGGAAAGGAAGGAAAGGAAGGAAAGGAAGGAAAGGAAGGAAAGGAAGGAAAGGAAGGAAAGGAAGGAAAGGAAGGAAAGGAAGGAAAGGAAGGAAAGGAAGGAAAGAAAGGAAAGGAAGGAAAGGAAGGAAAGGAAGGAAAGGAAGGAAAGGAAGGAAAGGAAGGAAAGGAAAGGAAGTAAAGGAAGGAAAGGAAAGGAATGAAAGGAAAGGAAGGAAGAAAGGAAGGAAGGAAGGAAGAAAGGAAGGAAGAAAGGAAGGAAGAAAGGAAGGAAGAAAGGAAGAAAGGAAGGAAGAAAGGAAGGAAGAAAGGAAGGAAGAAAGGCAGGAAGAAAGGAAGAAAGAAAGCAGAAAGGAGGAAAGAAAGTTACTGAGCGAGAGACAGAGAAAAAAAAACAATAACAAAAATGAACGAGAGGGAGAGAGAGAGAGAGCGAAAGAAAGAGACAGAGAGAGAGAAAGACGGAGAGAGATTCTAAGACAACAGAGATCCCTGCGTATGTTTAGACATCTGCGCATATCCTGCAACAGGCGTGTCCCATGCAGGGTTTGAGGTCAAAGGGTTGAGGGTCGCAATCGCCAACAATCCTAAACCCAAAACCCTCCCACAAGCCCCTAAACCCCAAACCCAGATGCAGGGTTGAGTGTTGAGGGCTCTTGAGGCAAGCGCATGAAGTGATCCCAAAGGGTGGCGAATGTGGTTTAGGGTTTCGACTCTCCCCCTCGCACAAGGCCGGCAATGCTTCAGTTGGCATGTCTTTCTGCTGGGTGACAGGGTTTAGGGTTTAGGGTTTCGGGTTTAGAGTTTAGGAATTAGGGTTTACTCGGCCTGAGTCTGAGGGGTTTCGGGTTTAGGGGGCTTTCTTCAACCCGGACTGTCTGAAGTCTGTCTAAACCCTTTTGCCACTGGTACGGGGCCACCTCATAGCCTGCTTCGACGGCTATGCGGCCACGATGGCAGGAACCAAAATCTACCGAAAGAACGACCTGTATGTCACGAAATCAACATCAACCCAACAGACCTTGTCTACACCGCACGCCCTAAACATCCCCAAACCTCCATAAGCCCCATAAACCCTAGATAAACCCTACACCCTATTTCCGCCCAAACCTGGCCTTGAACTCAGCATCACGGCGGCGTCCTCACACCAGGGATTTCGGGTGGGTTTAGGCTGGTCGTTCGAAGCTCACGGCCTTTAGCAGTCTGGCTGGAAGTTGTGGGGTTTACTCGGCGCTGTCTCTGTATCTGAGTAACTGAGCGCGACTGCACTGTGAACCAAGTGGCTTCGGGTTTTCAGTTCAGGCTCGGGTTTAGGGCCGTTTAGGGTTTAACATCATATTTTTGTTTTCTCCTTCTTCTGCACGCTTTAGGTTATTTTGTTATCTCTCTTCTTCTTTATCTCTCTTCTTGTTCCTCTTCTTATTATTATTCTTTTTCTTCTTCTCCTCACTTAAGAGGGCCCCCGAAAGGAGGCCCCCGGCCGCGACGGCCAGGCGGTTCTTGTGACTCTCTCTCTCTCTCTCGCTCTCTCGCTCGTGGCTCAGGGGAGATATTCCTGTAACATGTTCGGGTTTCCGTAGCTTGAGAAGATTTCGGGGCCGATCGAAACTGTTTGGCCTTTCTTGTGGTGCTGACTGGCAGGTGGGGGACTGAGGAGTCCGAGGGTGCTGCCCTCGAGGGTCTGAGAGCGCGGCGTGCCCAGAGCAGTACTTCACCAAGAGGCATCAGGGATTGCCTGGGAGGGGATCTAAACCCTGAACCCTAAACTAAACCCTAACCCCTAACCCCCAACCCCTAAACCCTAAATACCCTAAATACCCTAAATACCCTAAATACCCTAAATACCCTAAATCCAATTCAAGTTTCCGATGGTGCTTTGAATCCCTCAGCTCCACTCCTCCACTGCAAGCTTCAAGCTCCCGTGGCCCTGACACATTGGGGTCTGCTTCCAGAGCCTGCAGAGTTTAGAGCGGGTTTGAGGATGCAGGGCTTCTTTCGAAAATTGACTAGCTGCGCAGGGGCCGACCGACTGAAAGGCAAGCAAGCCCTATTTTTTGGGAAGGGCGTGGGGTGTGGGGTGTGGGGCATTGGAGATGCGGGCCTTTCCTTAAAAACACATGCCGCACCTCGCCATTTAGCTTAGCGAAACTGTCAAGTCTTTTCCACATTAGCGGCAGTCAGAACCTGAAACGTGTAGGCCCGATATAGCGTCTGCAGGAACGAGCTGGGAGGGACTAGCACATCTTCATCGCACATGACTCAAATCACTGCGACATTGCATCTTGTGTCGGGGTGGATCCTTCCATATCCAGATGCCCTATCGCCGTCAAGTTGCCCTGCTATGCCTACCAGCCCTAGCGCAGCTGATCACCTGCTCTCTCTCTCTCTCTCTCTCTCTCTCTCTCTCTGTCTCTCTCTCTCTCTCTCACACAGGCAAGGCAGCTGATCACCTGCTGGCAAAGCATGTCCGTGATGTCCCGAGCATGCAGTCCGAAGAACAGCAGCATAACCTCGAAGGGCCCATCTCGGACGCTGGGCTAAAAAAAGCACGTGTTCGGCTGAGCATCGGCTTCTAGGGGAAGTGGGACTAGGGTCTGTGATGGATTCACAACCCATGTTGCATCCTATGACAGAGGACCTGGAAACTAGGCAGCTATTACATGCACCATCCTGGAAGACAAAATCTGTACTGTTTGGCATCTGTGTTCCAACTCAGCTCGGGAGCTGAACCCACTATCGACAAACGAAATGATGTCATTTGAGGATGGGCTTTCAGTCACAAAGCACTTGTGTAGGTTGGGGTTTAGGGCCAGTTAAGGGTCCAGTGTTGAGGGTTCTAAGCATCCACCACACCCTCGCACGGCAAACCTGCGCTCAATGGCTGAAGGGATTCTCACCAAGCTCCCAGGCAGAGGCCTTGACAAACGGTGCCCCGGAGAGCACGACAAAAAATGAAATAAAAACAGACACTCCGACACCCTCTTAAGAAAGTAATGTTCGTTAACATTTATGAAAGGGATCCGAATGTGATTTCGGGGATCTTGAGGATTAAGGGTGCTTGGTTCTTGGAGTCTCTGGAAGATTTCTGCACTCCTGGGCCACGAACATCCTTGAGCTTGTAGCGCGGTAACTCAGCAGAAGCAAGCTCAAGCTGCACCGGCATCGCAACAGCGCAGCGCCGGATGTTGCGATTCGGTTCTAGATGGGCAGAGAAGTCACTCAGAAAGTGCTCTGGGCCACCAGCCCCTCTTCTTCCCTGTGCCTGTTCGGAGGGCGCGGAGATTTAGGGTTGACCAGCGGCTGTTGCTGCAGAGGTGACAATATCGCGGAGGCGGCAAGGGGCCAAGAAAAAAGTAACAACGGTGTCCCTATGGGGACCCTAGCATTTCCATTCGGGAACTTGCCGCCAACCGAAACCCCAGATCACGATGTGAAGAAACCCCTGAATTTCGGAGCATGCGCGACCGCATGCACAACATGGCCAGCTAAAACTGGACGCCCCCCCCCCCTCCCCCCCTCCCCCCCAGCTCCAAGACTCTTTCATCTCCAAAGCAATGTCACCTTTTTCCCAAGAGCTTTTTGGCAAGCTGCGCACGCAAGGCGTCCAGCCTGTGCCTATCGACCCAGCCGTTCCGCAAAAGCACGAGCAAAAGCCGCAACAACAATACATGAGGTGTACCATGTCTTTGTCTGCTCCTTTGACAGTACACAAAAGATGTATCGTCCGTAAAGCGAACAGGGCCGAATCTAAGCGTTGCACTTGCAGCCCTTGCCTCCTCCCCACAGCTCGGCGCCTCCTTTTGGAGGAGCTTGCAAAGTGGGTCTCCGGCTTGGGCCACACGAATCATGAAGGTTTCTTGCCAGCGTCTGAAATGAACATCATGTCCGTTGCAGGGAACCCCGGACTTGAAGATGTAAGGAGGATGTCAGCTGAGAAACCCGGCGTCAGAAGCTTTGCCCCGGCTGCAGCAGGCGATCACAAAACTCTCACGGAGCCATGGTCATGGCTATGACCCCCCCAAGCCCCATAAACCTGCCATGTAAAACCCTCAACTTCCAAGCTTACATTATTTAACACGATCGAGCCGGTTCATCTGTGCGGCAGCTGGAGGCTGCCGGCAAGCCACAGCTTGCAAGCATACTTTCAGCGAAGAGATTGCGCTGGCTTCTCGTGCACGCTGCTCGTGGGCAGTGTGTGGTTTTGGGGCTTGAAACATGCGGCACATAAGCCCAGAGCTTGCAAGGGTTCATGAGCATGGGCGATGCACGAAACCACAGTCGCAAAAACTAAGAGTGAAACTGAGATGTCAGAATCCCCCACAGAAGAAGTCAGTCGATTTAGGACTTGAGAAGGGGTAACGATGAATAACTGAACAACCAGATAGTCATAATACGCCATCACGACTGCGCAGCTGGTAGTACTCTGTAAACTATTCAGCTAAGAATTGATAACTTACGAGTAATCATCAATCAATAGCAAATATTGCAGACAGAGGCATGACATACAAGTTGCCTTTTTCGGTACAACCACTCATCATGAATCACGATTCGTGAACCATTCATCATGAATAGCTAACAAAACGTAAATCTAGCCATTGCGCACGTAGTACATGCCAAATGACGAGTAGGATTCATCAATGACACCTGTCCAACAATCTCCTAAAGTCGGCACCAAGCACTTCTTGTTGTCTCTTGCACTTTAACCCGAAACCCTAAACCCTAAGTCCCAAGCCCTAAGTCCTAAGCCCTAAAACCCAAAGCCCTAAACCCTAAACCGGAGCGCAGCCCGGAAACCGCAGGGCGCCCTAACTTTAGGAACCCTAAAGATCCCCTTCACCCTCCATCCCTGAAGCTCTAAATCCGCCAACCCTGAAGCCGATAGAGTTTAGGGTTCGGGGTCTAGGGTCTTCTTCGCTCCCGAGTTTAGGGTTTAGCCTTTAGGGTTCCTGAACCCCAGGAGTTCCTGGACCCCTGAATCCAACAAACCCTCACATCTTCCGCAAGCGCTCTCAGGCCCTGAAGCCGCGCGGCAGATCACAGCTAGGAAGGTCTGGCGCCGCAGGGGGAGGTTGTGTTTCAGAGGGTTTAGAGCGGCTTCGGGGGCCAATTCAGGATGCATGGTTTCGACTCTCACGCTCGCACCCGGCAAGGCTCCCACGTCCCTAACAAACTGCGGCTCTAGACTCTTTCAGAATATCAGGATCTGGCGGTTAAATGTAATTTTGAGCACAACAGCGGAAACATTGGTACAGCAAAGCTTTTTCTGCTTAGCTGAGCGCGAGCCCGCTATTCGTTTTAGTAGTTTTGGTCCAGGGAGTGTATATTGGCCCTGAGCCACCAAGTCTCAAAGCAAAGCTTCCAAGAGCCGACAGGAACTGATACTAAACCCAACCCTTGGTCAAACCATGGGGTGCCACTTCGGAACCCGGGAGGAGGCGGGGGGGCGGGGAGGCCCCACTCCTTGCATGCGGTGCAGACTCCGACTGCTCGGCGGCCCGATCCTGGTGGCATCGGCTTTTGGGGCTTGGGCGTTCGCTTTATGCTTTTAGGAACAACCCTAAACCCTAATCCCTAAAGAACCCTAAACCCCTTCTGTTAGGGATTTGGGGCGGTCTTGGAGTCTTGGGGTTCAGGTCTGATAAGAAGTTCAGATGGGAAAACGCACATGTCACCCTGCGTGCATGAGGCGTCACTGTGCATTCTTGTAATTCCTTGTTTGGCAAGTGAACAGGCAACCAAAAGTCTAGGGTACTGTTTCCTTTCCTTCCACTCGCATGAATGGCCCGCGCATGTCCTGTCCGCCCACCGTGGCCATGGTCACACCAAACATGAGCCTGCCTCAGCCAGTCTGTGCATAGTGCAGGGTTTTGGGTTTTGGGTTGGGGAGGACTTGAAAATGCATGTTCCTGATGAAGCTGCCAGGACCCAGGGTAGACTTACAGCATCTAGAATACGTACCAGAACTGCAGGAGTGAGCTTGGACTTCCAGCAAAGTTTACCCCGCAACACAAAGTTCTGGAAGGCCTCACTGAGCTCCGCAGTTCGACCAGAGAATCGTTGTCTGGGCCCAGGCAGCAGGCTCCCCTGAACACTCTGTTGTTAAAGTAAGCCCTATACTCGTACATTTGAACCGGGAAAGCCCTAAACCCTATACTAAACTACAAAGGCCTTAAACAGTAGAACACGTTTCTGGGGACATGTTGGTAAGTTTTTTTCGGGACCATCATAAGGGAAATACTATTTATTAGTAAGAGTTACTAAGCGTTCCGATTTACCCCCTCAACATCGACGCCAGGAGGCCCCTCTCATCCTCCGCTGTCATGGGCGGGGGTCTGGGGCGGGGCTCCGGCTCAGGGAAGTAGAACCTGGGGCGTTTGGGGTTTTCGGTGGTTCTTTGTTGAGGGGGGCTTTCTGGTGTTCAGGGCGGCTGCAGCTCCATTTGCGCGATTCTACCGGATGCCGCCGGTGAACCTGCGAGGGTCGCCCTCCTGTAAACCCGCCTAAACCCGTTTCAACCCTAAAGACCCTAAATCAAACAAAGGGCTGCCGCGCCATGAACTCATAGGGTTTCTCAGGCTGCTCCTTGATGACCTGAAGAGCAAGCGCGAAATCCGCAAGCTCGTTACACTGATGAGCCTCAGACACATGAACATACAGTCGTTCCTGGTCTTTATGAAGTGGGGCCCTGCAACCCTACACGTTTTGGGGGTATTTTTCTCCCATGCCGGTTAACACTGCTGGCCGGGTCACGCTCTGCACCAGCAACTGGGTAAACTCCACGAGGTTGTGCTTGTCCAAGTACTCACGGGCGGCGCTGGCCTGGTTTGAGAGCTCTGGGCTCATGGGATCTAGGAGCTTTGTCTCCCCCGCCTGGCATAACCGGTTCTGCTTGGTTTTGCCGAGCAGTGGTAGTCGTTAGGGTGTGGTGTTTCAGGTGCAGGCAGCCATCACGGCCTTTCTGAATAAACAGGACCCGCACGTCTTGGCTCATGCAGACACGTCATGAAACACTCTGGCTGCACCCTCCACCTCAAGGCCTGGCCACGAGGACTCTTTTAAAATTTAAAGTGTGCAAACCGTCCCGAAGCCTGGCCGATTCGTGAGGCGGCCGATGAGTTGCCTCCAACAGGAAGGGTCCAGATTTCTTAATTTCGCTGTATTTCTGCATTTTGGTTTTTGGATGTCGATATTTCTTTCGTTTCTTTATTTCGAGGGTGGCCCCAGCACAGTTTGCGCCCCCCAGATAGGAGTGGTCCATGGGAAGAAGAGGAGATCTCGTGGAGGACCCACCCCTTTGGCCCCCAACCTGCTGGTAGCAGATCTCCCCTACAAGACTTCGGTTCAGACCAGAAACAAAATAGAGGATCCCCCAGCAGGACTTCCCTCTCTCCTTCGCTATTTCCCTCGTTCGCTCTCCCTGTGTGTTTTTTTCTCTTTTTTCTCTCTCTCTCTCTCTCTATCGTTTCTTCTTCTTTTCTGCCGGGCATGAAGGGCTCTCTCTCTCTCTCTCTCTCTAGCTCTCTCTCTCTCTCTCTCACTCCCTTTTTCTGTCTTTTTCAGCATGGTCGGTGTGAAGTGGGAAGTATGGCAAGATCACACTCCTGACTAATTATCTCTCTTCTCTATCTCGGTCTCTTCGTCTTTGTGCATCTTTCTTTATGTCCGTGTCTTTGTTTATGTCTCATTGCCTCTCGCTCTTACTCTCCTCTGCCCCGCCACGAAAACCGCCAATAAATTCCTTCCATTTCCCCGATTGAGCTACCCAAATCCCCTTAGCTTTGAAGCCTTCGGGCCACATAAAGATGCGTACGACCGAGCAACACGCCAGCAGAGGCTTAGAGCGCCTTTGCCCTCGGAGGTCTCCGGCTGCTGCTCCTGAAAGGATCGCTTGTTCGGTTCCAACTCGGCCCGTTTGGGCCTCTAAGCTAAGGGAAAGGGGGATGTGGCATGGCGCATGTAGCAGCAAAACAGGCCTCCGGGGCTTCGTCTGATGGGCTCACGGCGATGGTGACGGACATGTCTCCGTTACCTCAGGTTCCATCCGTCTGGGTTCAGTCATTGAGAGGTTCTCCGCGGGGCCCGCAGCAGCATGACCCTGAGCTGGACCCGAGACACCTGCACCCCCCAAGAGCTGCTCTCAGTTGCTCACCCACAAACCGGCACCACCGCAGCTACCCAAACAAGCCTCAAAGCGAGGGCAGAATACGAAATCGATAGACCCCTCTCTCATCCTCGCCGCCTAATAGGACCTCATCACCAGCGGCTGCAACCGAAAACAAACAATTCAGAGACCCCTAAAGATGCTACCCTCTCTACCCTTCCCGGCTCAACCCGAAACCCTAACCTGAAGCCTATTTCGAGATCCCAACCTTGGGGCGGCGAGGCGGGCGGAGAGGGCGAAGAGCCCTCGAAGGAGTTTGAGGCTTCGAGCGGGATGGTGTACCTCAGGTTTTAGGGTTTAGGGTAGGGGTTTTGCTGGTAGCAAGGAGGTGCTCGGAAGAAAGGTCTTTGGGGTGAGGATTTGCGGACTCACCCAAAGCTGCTGCAAACGGACCCAAAACGCAACAGATAAGGGGTGTTAGGTGCCAACTCCTCAGCTCCAGTCCGGCGCAAAACAAGGGCCTTGGGGCCTTCAGGGGTAGGGTTTGTACTGCACTGCCTCAGGGATCCAAGCCACTGAGCGCGATGGCACTGCGAACCAGCATGGCTTAGGTGCGGCCAAGCTGCTGGCAGTCAGCGCGCTTCTCCTCACCTCAAGAAGCAGAAGAACAGGCCATCCAAACATCCCAATGCACTGGAGGCTTGCTATGAGCTTGATCCATGTGGTCTCGGGTTTGGCTATGGTTGAAGAATCTTGAGCTCGGGCAGCTAAGGGTGCTCAGAAGGCTTCGGGTTTGGGATGAAGGAAACTGGCCTGGACGAAGAATCAGGCGTGCCGTAGCCACAGGCTCGAGGACGTCCACCTCCAAACCCCCGACGTTTGTGGAAGCTTCGCTACTCAAAAGAGCAACAGGCTGGGCATTCTGAGTTCTTGTTGTGGTCTCTCACAAGCTCATTCACTGCAGCTAGCGCCAGGCACTGTCAGAAGAAGAAGCTCTGAACTCGCGAATGGAGTTGCTTTCTTTTTCCAGCGTGCCACGGGACCATGGTTGTGGCCTCAAGAGTTGTAGTGTTGTGACCCACTGTGCTGGAATCTGAGGGCCGTTCTACTGAAGCACCCAACCATCGATACTTCCACAACCCCAAGCCCCATAGACCCTCACGGGCAACCCTGGCAAGGCGCCTTGAAGGGCGTCGCTTCCGCGGCGGTGCAATTGAAACGAAAAGGCCGGTCGGAAGAGACCGGGGCCTCTCCGTGAAAGGGTTTGGGCCCAGCTGCTAAGCTGCTAGCAGCTTCACTTCAACAAGATGGAGATGTTGTCGTGGAAGAGTAGCGGGAAAATCGTGGAAGAGGGTGACAGTCCAACTCTTTGAGAGCAGTGCGATTCTTGACGAGATTGGACTGGACGCTGTGTGGATGAGGCGCTGGCTTACCATGCCCTTTCCGAAGCTGACAGAGAACCAACTCCGACAAAGCTAACCTTAACTGCCTCAACCGTACACTGCGCACTTCCATGCAGCTATTGCACATGTGCCTGTCTGCGGGTGGCACCGGCCCGCACCGAAAGCACACACCCCTCTGGAATGCCCTCCGTCTCCACTACCTTGGGCGCATGGAATTGGGGCAACTCTTGTGGAGCAACTCCCACCTTTTTTTAGAGCTTGGGACTGACAGGGCCCCTTGAAAATCCCCCGAAACCCCAAAAAACCTAAACCGAAACCCCAAAGACCCCAAACCTCTGGCATCTGAGGTGTGTTCTTTGAGGCAAAAAGAACCCCAAGTCGAAGGTTGCTGACTCGAAGGTGCATGGAGCTCCATGGGCTCTGCGCAAGATCCGAGACCTCAGCCACTGTTTTAGAGTATTTATTTTAGGGTCTGTGAAACAAATCATAACGCCTTAACTCAAGAATAAAATAGTTGCGGGCTGCGAGACGTGTATCCAGCAGTTCCTGCACCCCAAACCGGCCGATCCTGCCTAAAACCTGAAGCTCCCAAAACCCTTGCAGAGGCTGAAAGACACTTTGGCTGCCAAGACACGCTAAGTCGAATTCCCGCCGCGGTGTCTCACTTTGCTCAACCACGGGCTACTTGGTCGTGCTGACCAGGCCCAGTGATGCAGCCGGAACTCTTGAGAAAAGCTTGGAGCCTAGAACATCTACGAAACCGCGCGTTGTGCTATGGGCCAAAACTCTTCCGTTGCTTGTGTTGGCATCTGACTTCAACTTCCTCCACTCCGCTGCAGCGCAGCACCTTTTGAGCCGCAGTGGGGATACAGTGCAGCCATAGGGGAGGAAAGGCATGTGTTCAAAAGAACCCTTCGTGCTTTGCTGGCCGCAACTTCTACGCCCAGATGCAAATTGAACTTCGCTCGTGGTTTTGATGAGGACGGGGAGGGATGCAAGCAGTCTGGTGAGTATTCCAAGACTCATGAATGCCAAGAAAGGCCAAGCCAGGCAGCAGATGTCGTAGGTTGAGGGACATCTCCCAGCAAAAAACTTGAACTGTGCTGGGTTCTCAAGTGGTGCCCAGGCTCATTCAGTCTTTTTCGCGGTGAAAACCACATACGCCCATAAACTCCCCTCCAAACCCTATGTAAATCCTAAACCAGAAGCCCTCCGTACAGTTCCTCTGCGCCCCTGCGGCCTCCCGGGCGCAGATTCCTCGAAGGGCCTGAAACATTGCCCGCACCCTAGCCTAGAACTTAAGGTCCGTCAAGGAGGGTCTATGCTTGGGTCTATGCTTGGGGCTTTACTTTACACTGTTTGGTTACCATGATTCCGAGGAGAACTCTGTAGAACTGCAGCATCGACGTGAACTCCCTACGTCTACCTCTTGTGCTGAAGAAACCCCTTAAAACTCAATGCCTTGAACCATGAACCGACACTTCGCTGTACGCTCCGAAAAGCCTTGCCTGCGCTGGGCCACGCTCAGGCATGCCAATCACAACTCGACATGCTTGTTTCAGATTCAGCTCAACAAGCAACGCAGCAACGCATGAGCCCGCCTGGACCTCCTTGAGGCTGAAACCTTCGGTTTGCCTCCACCAGTGTGGTGTTGTGACGAGGCGTGAGAAAAGTTGATGCAGGGTCTTCGTCTGAGGCATAGACATGCGTTTGGGATCGGTGCTTCATATCTGGGAGCACAGGTACTACTGGCCCGTGTTTAGCAGCTTGCCCATGGCCTGCATTCTACTGACCTAAGCCGACTGCCAAACCCGCAGTACAACGAGCAATCGTCACATAGATGATGAACCCTGAAACGCCCGCAACCGCGACTCGCCCTAGGGGCCCCCGGAACCTTAAGCCGCGTTTCTATCGAGCAGGCGATTGAGATCAGGGCGTTTCGGAAAGCTAGGGTTTCGGGTTGAGGGTTTGCGGTTTGGGGTTCGGAGTTTAGGGATTGGGGAGCCCCCGCAGTATCGAAACCCTGAACCCAACTTGTCCCACTTCTCTGCGAACCCATTCTTAAGAGTTCGTGCTTCCGGCCCCTTATCAGTACAACCGATAAAAGCTTGTAAGAAAATGAACTTTCCAAAAGACTGCCCAGTCAACCTGAGCCCTCTCTTGGAGCTCTTCTGCCTCAACTTACAGGCGAAAGCCGCTCTGGAGAATCGAAGATGGCTAACCCCAGACCCATGTCCCCCGAGTCAATGCCTATACAGGAGGACCAGGTAGGCCTGGGCTGCATCTTGCATCTTCAGCTTCGAGGGAGTCGGAGGGATCAGGGGTTTCAGCAAGGGATTAGGCAGTTTGGATGGCTGTGGGCCCAATGTTCAGTTGTGCATCCTGGTCTCTCACAACTGGGACAGTCCAGGCGAGCAACCAGCTTCATCGTCGTTTGTCCAAGACGGAAAGCTCTCCACATGCTCATGGTGGCTTCAACAGTGCTCGATGCGTTTCGGCTTGTTCTACCGGACTCAGGCAAGGTAGAGCTTCAGAACATCGGCTTCGGCAGCTCTCTAAGGCTGGCACGGATCCGAAAACTTCGATCCCTGCGCATCTTTGTCTCACACTTCCTCTCGCGTGGGTGGCAGCTGTCTGGCACGCTGCACTCGGCGTTCGCAGCCACGCGCCCTCTTTGGGCTCAGCTGCTCATAGGCCCATGGTGCGAACAAGCTCAAGTCCGTGACCACGTTGCGGAGAGGAGGCTTGACTTGAACATGTGTGTTGTGGAGGCATCGTATTGATTGGGGCTTACGGTTCAGTATGGGCTCTCAATCGTATAATGATCTGCGACATCGCGATGTGACTGCAGTTGTTACTGCTAGGTTCTGCGCTTCATGTGCCGCTCAGAGGAAAGTGTTGAGCGGCCCCCGCTGGCGGCCACATCTACCTGCCATGCGGTTGGACAAACATCGCTTGGACTGTCCCAAACCCTCTATATAAACCACATGATGGCTGCGACAGCAGGAAGATTAGAGATACAAGGTTTCTGGCCTTAAGGGCCTTAAAAGGTCATAGTGTTGGGACTCCTCTGACAAATCCTGGAGGTCCTGTACTTGGTGGGCCTGCTCGCAGTGGAGGCTCCGGCTGCCACCTGTCCGCCAGTGTACAAGTCTAGGGTGTGTGTGCTGTGATTGTCCAACTTTCCTCTTGCAAGCTTCTGATCAGTTTAGGGTTTAGGGTTCCGCTGGGTTAGTTCTGCTTGTTGTTGTTTTTTGAAGTCTTCGAGCTTCCACACCTCATCCTTCCTCTGTAAGACTTATCCGACTTGTGCAGGAAGCTGCATCTGAAAGATTGGCATCCGCAACTCGCAAAATCGCAAACTCTAAATTCTGCCAAACCACCCAAAGACCCCTAAGCCCCCGGCTCAAGCTGAAGAAAAGTCAGTTAACACCTGATCCTGGACTGCGCCGCCTCAACATCGCCATGGGTGCGGCCATGGAAGCTGCGGCTGTCTTTGGCGCAGGGGGCGGCGCTGCTGCCTTCTGCTTGGGGGGGGGGGGGAGGTTCTGCAGCTTCACGGGGTTTTACAAGAGCTTCGCTCTGACCTCGGACATGCTATAGGTGAGGTTTCAAGGAAGGCTACCTAATTGAGGTGTTGCTTCAGGTTCCAGGAGGGCAGGGCGGCAGGGGGTTAGGGTTTTTGAGCAATCTCGCAAGGAGGCATGCAAAAGCCCGAGCTGAGAAGCCCCTGAGCATGATCAGCATGACCCCATGCCAGCCCACACCTGCATTGTCCTGACCTGAGTCGCAACGCAGAGAAGTCTGGCTGCGTAGCGGTTTAAGGAATAGCTCATATAACTTAGACTACCAAGCCCACACAAGTTCCTGGCCTTGGCTGCCACGGCCTCCGGCGAGCCTGCAGGATTCAAGCCTCAACAGCGTCTGACAGTCTGTCAAGTGTCCAAGGTGGGGGGGGGGGGGGGGGTTTTGCCACCCGCCTAGCAGACCCCCTCTGGGTTGAGGGTTCAGGGTTTAGGGTCTATAGGGTGTAGGATTTAGAATTTAGCGTTTAGGATTCGGGTTGAGGGCTTAGGGGTCTCTAAGGCATGCTGTTGGGGCTGTGGCGCATATCTTTCCGCTACTAACAATTGAAGCCCTTCATGATCTGTTCTAGGGCTGCAGGTCTGCCACAAGGCGTGTGGCGCGCGCAATTTGGGGATTTCTTTTCAGCACACCATCCTGTCATCACCCCTAACCCTAAAAGCCCCCTAAACCCTACAAAGCCCCTAAACCCGAAACCTTCAACCCTGAACTTTAAACCCTAAACCCTGCACTAGCCCCTGTGGGCCAACCTCCTTCTGCGGTGGGCTTGGTCACCTGGATCCCGCCGATGGGGCCCGCGGCCTTGCGAGACGTTTACCAAAAAAATGCGTCTTAGGGCTTCTGCAGCACCATCTCCGAAGACTTAGGGTTTAGGGTTTAGGCCTTTAGGCTGTTTAGGGCTTAGGTTTAGGATTGGGTGATGGGTGATAAGGCCCGTTTGTTTAAGCTTAGGTCTGCAGGGTTTCGTGGCTCTACTGCTGCTCTTAGGCCAGTGGGCAGGCAGCATAAACGCGCCAATGTCCTGCAGGCTGACTTTGAATTATTGCTGCTGCTCGATTGTCTGCAGCCACTTTGTGACCAAATGGGTGCTGCAAGCATCCGCAAGCAATATGCCTCTTTTCGCGGGGGCTCATGCTACTTCTTTAGCGTCTGAAGTGCCTCTCTCCTGTATGAGTTTCTCGGCGTCTCTGAGTCTGTTTTTCCGAAGTCGAGCCTTGCGGCAAAGGCCTTTTGTTAGCCGTAGCAATCTGGGGGAGAGCCTAAACACCCACACAATGCGCACCCAAAACCACCGTCACAGCGTCGGAGCGCCCGAAAAGCCACCCAGCCTTTTTGATGATGACCTGGGCACTGGCGTCCAGACGTGGCTACGCTCGGTAGACGATTGCAGGACCATCAAAGGCTAGGATTTTCGACTCAAGGTGTGAGGGTTCGCATTTTGTAGTTTGAGCTCGACTTGAGGATGCAGACTGTTCGAGAAGGCCCTCTGCATGCAGGCGTGGTGTGAACCAGAATTGCCTCTTCATCTTCAGCCTGAAACCCAAACCCTGGAGCCCTGAACGCCAGCTTCTCGCTCCCCCCAAAAAACGATACACAAAAACAGCACACCTTGCCACAGCAAAGGAAACAACACGGGCAGTTCTCCAGCTATGATCCTTTACCCTACTTGCCAGCCAACATAATACACAAGGGCACGTAGTATCGGTATCCGAAAAGAGCATCCTGATTTGGGCCAGGCAACGTGGATGTCCAGGGGCAGGTTGTCCCCCACCGGCTGCGGTGGCATCGGGGGCACTGCCTTTCCCTTGGCGGATTTGCTGCACAGACAGCCACACAGATAAGAAAACAGGGCCCAAAACACAAAAATGTCACAAGGCATGGGATGGCGATAACGCACCTCCGTCTGAGCCATACAGTTCGGGGATGAACTAAACCACATCGGAGGCTTGAAAAGCACTGGTCTTCGTGCAAAGCGCACCTGAAGATCCACTGTGCGACCTTTGAGGTTCCCACGGCATGTTTTGGTTTAGCCTAGAGGTTATGTCGAGCATTTGGGGGTTTAAGGCTTACTTACAGGGCTCCGGTAGCAATTGGGCTCTTGGGGTTCTGCAACATCCAGAGGCTCAAGGGCACCTGCAAAAGGCGACAGACGCCAGGACCCCTAAAGAAACACATAGGCCGTCCCTCGGTAAGACGCTGTGATTCCGAGATGGCTGCAAGCCAGGTCTTGTGGTTCAAGGTGTAGTTATGGGGCTTGTGGTTGGGAATTGCCTTCAATGGCAAGTTCCCATGAATCGTGCTGCGAGGTTCTGCGGCCGGCTCCTGGAATGATGTGGCTAGCGCCGAGAAGAGACCTGCACCACGAACATCCAGACGAACCCAAACAGCCTTCGACATCCCCACAGTACAGTCCTAAACGTCTCAGAAGCGTCAAGGACTATCATTGCTACCTTCTCCGGGATTTCATGACGAACTGTTATAACCGTAGGCCACAAGCGCACGTGCGAGGACAAGCATGCTCAATCCGAGCGTATCTACTAGTAGTTCAGATTGCTTGCGCCCACTCAAGAATCGTGGGAATGGACAGGGGGCGAGCAGAAACATCATCTCTCGCCGTCTCTCCCTCCCTCTTTTGCGTGCTGACGGATCCGTTGGCTACCATCGCAATCAACAGCTTGTAAGATAGCTGAGGATTCAATCACTTGGACGTCCCGTGTCTAGGCCGCTCGCGTACTTCGAAACATCCCGAATGGTTTCTCTTCGCACCCTCATCTCCAATTGACTGTTCGGGCGGTTTCAAGGATCAAGCCTTGCAAACTGTGCCGAGCATTCTGAGTATGTGCAAGCAAGGCCCATGGGCCCTATGCTGCGGCTAGTCTAGCAACCGCCTCAACCTTGCCAGCATGGGAACTGGACCTAAGCTACGTCCGAGGTTCATGCTCGCATAGCCACCCCGGACCCGTCTGTTGGGATTCTTGCCTTGCCGTCCACCAATCGGCATGTCCATGTTGCCTTCCACGCGTCAGGATTGGTTGGGGCGGCTTTCAGGTTCAGAGATCATGGCATAGTGAAGTTGGGCAAGGATGCCCTGATGGCCCCCCTGCTCAAATCGCAAAAACCATGCCGGGTAACCCCTCACGAAGCACTTCTACTCAAGGCGCTTCGAGTAGCATGTTGGCAAGAGGCTGCCGGTTTGCGCCCTTTTGCAGGTTGCATCACCTATCACCTACTACCGTGAGCAGGGCTCGCGGGTTCTGCGGGCGGGGGGAGAGGGGGGGGCTTCCCTTGAGGCAGTGTCACTTTATGACACTGACCGGGGTGAAATCTATGTACAAGCTGGTTCCAGCTGAGTGGCATTCAGCCGCCGACGGGTCTTCCGCAGCAAGCTACTTGCCACTCAGGCTTTTCTTGTAGAAGCACTCCGCAAAGTATTGCACGAGACGAGGTATCCTCCTCGAAGGCTCATCCTGTGGAGAGCAGCACTGCCACACCATTGAGTTGATCACATCGCTGTGCTGGGCCCATACTTGGTCGCTTTGCACAGCCACCACCGAGACGAGGCTTGGGAGGAAGGCGTGGATCTTTACTGGGACCAGGGCCAGGATGGCCTCAGAGGGGCGCAAGGGGATCTAAGGCTTCTTAACCTGCCCAGACTCGGGTTGCAGTGGCGCCTCTTCTGCCTTGCCTCGTGCTTTCTTAGCTACAGCTCGCACTGAAACCTGGAAAGACAACCCAAGCCTGTGACCTTGCTTACTGTAGTCGTTTGTCTGCCCATTGCCTTCACCGCCGACTTCCGCACTTCCCATCGGTCTGAGTCCTGGCACTTACACAAATCCATGGTTGAACCCTGCTGGGTGCCCAACCCCGCAAACACACAAACTTGCGACTTCCAGCACCCCGCCCACCCCCCCCCCCTCTCCAGGTGCGCTGCTGCGGCCGCCACGGCTCCGCGGTCATAGCCCAGGGCACTGTCCGCTTTGGCGAAGGCAGCCAAGCCTTCGACCTGGGCTTGTGCTGATTCTTCGAGGCTTACTGGATTTTTATTTTCGGGGGCTGATCTAGACTATAAGCCCTTCAAAATTTGAGGCTTCTGTCAAAGTATATTCCTTGTAGGTCCGGGGCAATATGAGAGTGGCCTGCAACTCGTAAATCTACCCCCCTTTACGTTCAGCGATTCTGAAGACTTGATTCTTTCCGGGCCTTCTTGTCGTGCTGTCTTGTAGGTTGGTGAGCTTCGCAACTTACAGGGCTTACAGGCTCCATAAGGGTGCCTTAGGTTGCTCTCTTGTCTGCGCTTGCTGGGTATTTTGAGATGTTTTGATGGGGTGCGCCGAGGTCTGCAAGCTGGATCTCGGCGACGTTTAGCAGACGTCACATGAAAACTGCCACTTCGCACGCTCAAGGTTTCAGTTTCGGCCTTGGTTCGTGCTGGTCGCGGCTTACGGAGCGAAGACTCTGCACCCACTGTTACTCTATTGCTTTTTGATACAGGCAACTTTGCCGAATCGGCCTTTCCGACTTCGCGGCCAGGATCTTCCGTGACCCTAGCAAAGCCCAAACGTCGGAAGTCCCCAACATCCCCCCCAGATTCTTGCCTTACATGGAAATGTTGTAGTATAAGGTTCCCGTAAACGCCTTACTTTTGGGAAACCCTACTGAAGCCTTTCAGAAGCCATTCGCCGTGCAGGCAAGCCGCAGCGGCAGCACGCACCTCGGGCTGCTGGTGCCTCTGGCATGTACCGGCGCAGAGGGTCTTCGGGCTCGGACGGATGCAGCTTCGTCATGCGAATTGCTTTGATTCTCATGGGGAGGGAACGGGGGAAGGACGGAGAAACAGAGACAGGGAGCGGGGGAGAGAGGGAGAGAGGGAGAGAGGGAGAGAGGGAGAGAGGGAGAGAGGGAGAGAGGGAGAGAGGGAGAGAGGGAGAGAGGGAGAGAGGGAGAGAGGGAACCTACGCCATCCAACACTCTGGTCAACCAGCCATCCTGTTCAAACTTCTTGCGAACCCATGCCAGGGCCTGAGGCGCGATGCGACGGCGACGACGGCATCCTACCCAACTCTTGCAGGCGGGAGACCCACTAACGGGCCAACGGGTGGTTGACGACTTGAATGGCTTGGGAGTAGTAGCTCAACTTACCTTCATTCTCTGTCTCGAACTACGCGCAAGCGATTTTGCTGTGCCTGGTGGCCACGTGCCTGGCTCGCCCGAAGAAGAGTGATCGCCAACCGCCGCACCTTTTGGACCCAATGCAAGTGGAGGTACAGGGATTATGGCGAGCCGCTGGTCAGGGCGGGGTGTGACAAGCGAAGTGCAGAGTTGGGGTTGCAAAGCAGATCTGCGGGACTTCGGGAAATGTAGGGAAATAGGCAGTTTAGGGTTTAGCGGATCAGGTGTCGAGATTCCAAGGCCAGCCTTACCCCCTTTTTGCAACTGGGACTTGGTGACTGCCAGTGCCCTTAACCCTAAGCCCTAAACGCCCCAAACCCCTGCCCGAAGCCCCGGCGAAATCTCCCAAGCACCCGCCTCCAAGCTCTGATCTTCGAGGCAGAAAGCAACAGCCGAGGCCTGTGGTTTGGGTTTGGGTTTGGGGGGCCTTGCAGGTTCCTCGAGCATGCGCTTCAGTACGAGGGTACTACTCAAGCCCTGAAACGACGCACGAGAACGGGAAGCCAAAGCCGAAGTCATCCTGCCTCCTCGACTGCAGACGGGCTGATCCTCGCGAACCAGATGAGAGCCTCTGATTTGTGGGGTGTTGCGATATCGGGAGCTTCGAATGTCTGTGGGGGAGGGGGGAATGGCGGGGCTTGGTGGACCGCGTAATAAAGGATAATTTTGGACATGCTTTGGGCAGTTTGGGCCCCTGTATTGGTTGCAAAGAGTTGTGATAACATCCAAAACCCCAGACAGGTACCATATGAAGGTCTATGTCGGGCGGTTTATGATTGCAAAGTGAAGGGCCTTGAGCGAAATCTGTGCCTCCATCCTCGCCTCCTGGGTGTATCGACTACCCAAACCACAGCAGTCGAGGAGCCAAAGCTTCCAGGCAGTCCCGGCGAACTTCGCTGGGCAGGGAGGGAAGCTTCAAGATCACCTGCACGAGGCTCTTTGCTTGGAGCTTAGAGCCCCTTAAGAACCCTAAACCCTCTACAGGCCCCAATCCCTAAAGGCCCTAAACCCCGCACCCTAAACTCCTAAAACCCAACCCTCAAGCCCTTGAAGCCCACAAAAAGAGCAAGACCTATAGTCACAAGACATCGCCTCTCGGCCCTGGTGGGCAAAACAACCCGTCGAGGGAGGGCCCCCCTTATGGGCGCCATTGAGGACCGTGCAGAATCCCAAATCCCCCCTAACAAGCCACCGAACACCCGAGCCGGGCCGAGGTCAGCTCTACAACTTGCCATCATCTCAGGATTCCCCGTCCTGCCTGCGACACCGTTGCCTGGTCTGCCTCGCGCAGGAGCCGAGCTAGCGCAGGAATCGCTGCCAGGCGCACGTCCTGCGCCTGACCATGCAGGGTTAAGGATCTCCGGGTTAAGGATCTCAGTCTGGAAAGCTCCCCACATCATGGTAATCTCATCTGCCCGCCCCACTCCCTAACGATGTATCCTGCCTGGCTACGTAGCCCTGGGCCGCTAAGACCAGAGAAAAAGTTCCCTGTAAGTCCCCTGTACTCAATCTACCCGAAACTACCATCAACTGACAAGAACGCCTGGCCTTGTCGTAGAGACACCTCGCCACTCTCTGCCTGCTGAAACTTCTGAAAAGCCAACAGGCACACGACATGCCAGGCGCGTGTCGGAAGTTTAGGGGTTTACAGAAGGCCTTCGCCACTTGCCGAGCAGCCTCACACCCCAGCGAGGGGATGCCAAGAATTCCCTGTGGTCATAAGCAACGTTTGCTCGCACAAATTTGCAGTCAGGCAGACTGCACAGTTGCAAAGATACAAAGCTCAAACCTCTATGGTGCTGCTGCACTGTGACAGGTCTGAACATCTCGGAGATGTTCTTTCCAAGCATGTCGCAAAATCCCAAGATAAGCCATTCAATAGCTACTTTCCTCTGCAGATCCTCCCCCCCCCAAACAAACCAAACACCGAACACCATCTCTGCTCAGGCGGCCTCAGTCGAATGCCTCCCTGCTCTCCCCCTTCAACGGACCTCACATTGGAGGCGGGGTGTTGGGCCTTCGGTTTACGCAGGTACCTCAAGCGACACCCAATTCCTCAACTAACAACCAACTGCAGCGACGCAGGACTCTCGCGAAGCCACTATGTCATCCGGACTGCAAGGCGACATCAATCTGCAACAGCAGCCCGCAACAATGTTACCCCATGTTACGCGCAGCATACGTCAAGTGCATGCATTGGATGCAGCACACCCTACACATCCCTAAACCCTAAACCCTAACCCTTGAACCCTCACATGATCAGCGAGCCTCCTAACCCGCCAAGGGGCACGGCATCGCCAAGGGATCCCGGCGGCGAGAGGGCCACCAGAATCTTCAGGGCCGCCTGCAGCTTCGTGTATGTATACATATGTATATATATATATATGTATGTATGTGTATATATATATATTTATGTATTTATTCATTTTTTTGTATGTGTGTGTGTGTTTGGGTACATGTCTGTGTCTATGTAGATTTTTGTATAAACAGATATGAATGTCAATATATACTTATATGTATATTTATGCATATATATATATATATATACATATATATATATATATGTGCATGTTGTATGGTATGCATTGTCATCTATTGTAATTATGCCATACATGCAGCAGGAAATAAGACAGCAAGCAGCTCTCAGTGCAAAGTTTTACAGTAGGGATTCAAGGCGTGGGTACATAGTTGCAAGGCTTCCATGGCCTACCACGCCCCTCCACGTTATCACATCACCATGTCCAGTTGACATCCCGAAGCTGATGCCTCCTTTGTCTGAGTCGAGCCGGAAGACAGTGTGGCACCTACCTCATCACTCCAGGCTCATGCCAGGGTCATGCACACAAAGCACATTGGTGCACTGAGCTACCCGGTGTAGTCTCTGATATCTCGTTGAAAACTAAACTCCCACGGAAAACCAAAGCAAGCCTTGCAAAGACTCTTGACTTTAAGCATCCACTGCCGCCCTGCGTCTGACTCCAGCACATCTGGGTCCCCTTCTGCACCCAAACGCAAGAAGGTGTCTGCGGCATCCGCCAACACGGCAGGGTTCTGCCAAATTGGAAAGACGAGATGAGGAACTGAACCCCTAAACCCCCTAAGACACATGGGGCTTTCAGTACAGGGTCGCTTCCCCAAGTGGGAGTTATACTAAAGCAGGTTCCAGGTTCCGTTTGGAGCAAGGGCCTTTGTACAAGAGAATCGCTTAAGCAATGAGCCCCCCTTCTGGACCCTAAAAACCAAAACCGTCGGACACCCGCCAAATGTGGTCCCTGTCTGGGTCCTCTTTCTAAGGCACCCACCAAAGAACCTGAACACTTGACGGGGTGGACATTTAAAGGCTGATGCTGTCTATGCGATCAAGCCATGCCGGCGGCACCTCTGTGCATTGTAGAGGTTGAGTGGCCTACTGTAGGGCTATTGAATTAGACTGCCTATCTTGCGTGCCTTTGCTATAATGTAATGATAATGTTGAGCTCAGGCTCCTGTATTCGTAAGACTCCTGGCAGCCGGTACCGGGCAGTGCCCCTCCAACAAAACATAGAATGAAAGCAATGCCACACCCCAGACCGCTAAACCCTGAAACCCTTTTTGCGTCCGAGCCCTACCGATATGTCCGAAACCCCTTCAGTAATCTCCCTAAACCCTAAACCCTAAACCCTAAACCCTAAACCCTAAACCCTAAACCCTAAACCCTAAACCCTAAACCCCATGCCTCGCTCTTCAGGCTGCTCACTGCGAAGGCCGCCGCGGTGGATCGCTGGGCCGGGCCCTCCCCGGCGAGGTTGACGAGGATCCTGCAGTCTGCAGCTCCATAAGGGTTTAGGGTTTAGGGTTTAGAGTTTGGGGTTTGGGGTTTAGGTTTAAGGGTTTACTCGGCGCTATCTCTGAGTCCGAGCAGCTGAGCGCGACTGCACTGTGAACCAGCACAAGGGTTTAGGGTTTTGGGTTTTGGGTTTCTTACTTTGCCACTCACCTGGCTGATTGTAACATCGCACTGCAGGGAAGTTTGACGGCATGTTCAGGGTTTAGGGTTTAGGGTTTCTACTTCGGTTTAAGCGTCCCTTATCGGGGTAGTTCCGCAAATTTGGGGG